GTGGCGTCCCAGTGACTCCACGCTACAGTGTCCCACGCTGTTTCTCAAGTCACATGTTCAGCGTCACTTGTATGTTCTGCTTTTGTTTAGCTCAACACAGCTGTTTCAGCAAGTCAGAGGTGAGTTTTGTGGTGATTTCTGCGTCCAGTGTGCGTTTCGTCATGTTGTGGGTTTGAGAGGAGGAAGTGGTCAGATGCTCCCTCGCCATACACTCACCCACGCTCCTCGCCACCACACTACCGTACACCACCACACCATCACTCCCCCTGCTGTTTTCCATGTGAATTCATTGCCAGAGCTGTGTATCCGAGTGCCCGAGGCCACTGGATCAGCAAGCTACGTGAATCAGCAAGCCACGTGGATCAGCAAGCCATGTGGATCAGCATGCCACGTAGATCAGGAAGCCACGTGGATCAGGAAGCCACGTGGATCAGCAAGCCAAGTGGATCAGCAAGCCACGTGGATTAGCAAGCCACGTGGATCAGCAAGCCATGTAGATTAGCATGCCACGTAGATCTGCTGCCCAAATCACATTGACGTCACCGATGCTGCTGCCCGACTTCATGACGTCACAATGTTTGCTGACGTCACAATGCTGCTGACGTCACGCCTGACATCACATGATGTCACATCGAGTGTTTCGGTAATTATTTCAGTATTGTCGAGAAGATTGAGAGAAGATATATGTCGTGTGTTAATTAATTCCTCTCGGTCAGTGTTCTCACATGTTAATGTATGGCTTAATGTCAATTTTGTGCACAGAAAAGCATCTTTTGCTAGTTAAGCCATGTTGTACCGCGGGTCTGTGTAAAGTTTTCCGCGAGTCCAGTGTGGTCTGCGGCCAGACCCCTGAGTAGCACCACTGTGTTAAGTCACCCGGTATGACCAGTGCGTTTGACAGCTGATATTACTCAGTCCCCAGCGACAGAGCCCCTTTGTACAGAAAGCTCTTATGCTCGTCACTCGTGATGTTCTGCAGAATCGTACCTCCTACGATTCCCATCGAGATTTTTTTCACTTCACCTCCAGACCTTCAGAGTGCAGTTATATGTAGAGAAACAAGTCTGGGTACACTTAGACTAACCTCTGCTATAACTCCAACTGCCGAGAGAATGACACTCGTCAAGCCGCAGTTAGCCCTGTCGGCAGGCGCTGTGTCAGCCTCGTGTCACAAGCTTCAGTGAGCTCCTGCACAAAGAAGATGTCACTTTGACTGCTAGCTCGCTCACTGCAGTCTGGTGTATGATGTTACGACTCCCAGATGTTTCGCCCAGTCGTCTCTGCCACGACTCGCTCCACAACTCACTCCACGCTCGCTGGCAGTGACAGCCCAGTGACAGTACCAGTTGAGAAGTGTCCTCCTGAGTCGCTGGCCAGAAGTCCTGCCCAGTTGCCGTGTTTTGATGATGCCTCACTTGAGGGCACCAGCATGTCGTGCCCCAGGTTGAGTGAAACCTGTAGTGACTCCTACTATGACTGCTTCACCATTCTAGAGACCGCACCCTGTTATGTCACAGCTTAGCCGCAGCGATGTCTCCTGTGTTGCAGTATCTGTCCAGATGCAGGAAGGCATGCAGTGATGCCCTTCGACGCTCACTGCCTAAGACCACGATGTTTAGCACACCCATGTTTTTTTCTTCCCTCCCAGTAGAAAGTTTTTTTTTTCCATGTCCATATGTATATACATGTTTTTATTTTGTGTTCTGTGCCCTGTTTCTATGACAGAGAGACCGAGTTTTTTTTACCGCCAGACATGGTCGGGACAACCACGTGGCAGGTGGATGAGCGTATGTAGACAGCCTGTACTGTCTGCACAGACAGCCTATGCTGTCTGCCAGCTTAGTTCATATTTTGCACCACTAAAGTGCTGCCCTCTGGACCTGCCCAGGTCTGTGGGACGCTGGTCCCACACGCTCTCACTCTCTCAGCAGCCTAGCAGCAAGACACAAGGCCTACTAGTTCTCTCCCTCGTGAGCATGGCCTTCCTGGCCATGGGCACAACACACAAGCCTGTGTACCCACCACAACATTACAAATAAAGTAAGAAGCCTCCGAAGACATTTATCATTCACTCACCCGCTACCAGAATCACCAAATAATTCTGTTTCACACGTACCTGTAATCTTGCATATTTAGAGACAGACAAAAGACACCAGCAATCCTACCATCATTACTTTTAAAAACTAATAATTTCTTTTCTTTCTTTCAGCAAACTGGCTGCATCCCACTGAAGCAGGTGGCCCATGAAGAAAAACTGAAGTTTTCCTTTTTATATTTAGTAATATATACAGGAGGGGGAGTTACTACCCCTTGCTCCCAGCATTTTAAGTCACCTCTTACGACATGCTAGGCTTATGGGGGAAGAATTCTGTTCCACTTCCCCATGGGATATTGGCAAAGACAGTGATTATGTGTGAATGAGGTGAAAGTGTTGAATGATGATTAAAGTATTTTCTTTTTGGGGATTTTTCTTTCTTTTTGGGTCACCCTGCCTCAGTGGGAGACGGCTGACTTGCTGAGAAAAAAAAAAAGTTTCCTTATTGTAATACTAGCTACATTAATTATTTATGACAGACCCAAGACCAATTTCATTTGGAAAATTATCTTAAGTTTAATAATGTGTATATAAAAAAAACAGTTCTTACAACTCACTGGCATAGTTCCACCTAGGAAGGGTAACTGAAAAGAAAACTTCCACCATCATTCACACTTTATCTTTCTTAAAGTGGTACAAAACATACAACCAATATATATGAGAAAAACTCATGACGACATTGCATTCCAAGTCGGACCAGGTTATCTGTGTATTGTTCTAGTCACAGTACTGTGAGTTCTTGTTCTTTAGGAGCACAAACATTGTGGCCCAATGTTCAGTCTTTAACCCTTTCAGGGTCCAAGGCCCAAATCTGGAGTCACGCACCAGTGTCCAAGAATTTTCAAAAAAAAAAAATTTGTTATTTTTTCTTATGAAATCGTAGAGAATCTTTTTGTGAAGGTAATAAAACAAAAAGTACGAAATTTGGTGGAAAATTGACGAAATTATGCTCTCGTGAATTTTGATGTGTCAGTGATATTTACGAATCGGCGATTTTGCCGACTTTGACTCCCATTTTAGGCCAATTACATTATTCCAGTCAACCAAATTCTTAGCTATTTCACTAGTATTACTTCTATTCTATCGATTGAGCACAAGAAATCGCCAAGTCACCTGTTTCAACTACAAAATAAAGTGATCGGAAATTGTTAATTTGGCCAATTTAACACAAAGTTCAAAATATTCCAATTTCAAAATAGGGTCCAGAATGAACAATGTAGGCATTCCTGGCACTAAACTAACATTTCCTCTGTTCATTAGTTATATTTTGAGGCTTTACAAATAAATTCCATTTTGATTTTTTATTCACATAATGAATTTTTATTCACACCAAAAAATAGAAGATTTACTGTTATGCAATACTGTAATAATTGTATAAATATCATCACCATATTTGTGAATGTATATTAGACCCACCAGCTGATGTGTATTAGACGTGTGGAGGTCGTTTGTTTACTCTTGAATATCGGCAAAAATTTAACATTTCTGCTACTTTGAGCTCAGTTTCAAGCCATTTCCAGTGCTAAAACCAATCAAAATCATCTCTATTTCTGTAATATGTCTTCCATTCTATCAAATGAGACCAAGAAATCGCAAATACAACTATAAAAAACATACGAAAAAACACTGCAAAGTTGCTGTTTTAATCGAAAAATCATGATTTCATTTTTTCTCTCTCATTATACACAGTGTGCTGTAGGATCTGTTTTATGTGGTGCACACATACCACATAGATGTATTCTCTCATATCTAGGCCCAAATGTACCACTCACAGTTTATCAGAGTGAGCTGAGCTCATGGCGTAGATCTACGGTTTGGACCCTGAACGTAAAGCCGTAGATCTACGGGACGGATCCTGAAAGGGTTAAACTACTGGTTTGGAGACTCCTGTGCCCAGGCACTGTTGCACAACTTCCAAAACTCTCATATGGTTCACTGGTCTCCACAAGTTGTTTCGTAGCTATGATTATGCTAACATTCCAACAGCATGTAAAATCTTCAGGGCCTAACATCTGGCTAAAGACCATCTGAGCAGTGGCATGCTAAAGCTTAAATGAGCCTCAGAGACCTTACTGGGGACTACCAGGTGTGGAATAGGTAATGACAGGTGTACAATATTCCAAAATGGTACCCTTATGGTCTCTAAACAGAAAATAGGTACCCGTGTGATATACCACTTTGGAAAATCGCCCTGTGCCTTGTATGCTCGAGGTCAGGGTCAAGGGTGGGCTTCAGCATTTGTTTAGTAACGTTACATTACAACTGTATGGAAACATTGCGCCAGCAAGCAGCCGACACTCGTGTGCCTTACATGCCGGAAAACACGGTACCTGTGACCAGTTAAGCCAGTTTTTCTACTCCTTCAGCCCAGCCTGGGACCAAGCTTCTCTAGTGCTTGACTAGTCAACCAGGCTGCTGCTGTTGGTAACCCACTGGCCAACATATCTATCTCAGCCTAGTTGATATGGCATTTGGCAGTTTTATTTTTTTGAACGGCCCGGCCATATCTCACCGAGGCAGGGTGACCTAAAACGAAAAACAAAAGTTTTTATTTTTTAATTAAATAATTTATACAGGAGAAAGGGTTACTAGCCCCTTGCTCCCAGCATTTTAGTTGCCTCTGCAGACACACATGGCCTATTACGTAGGAAGAATTCTTTTCCACTTCTCATATGGTGCCCCTGGCTTCCCTGCTTTTCACTATGACAGGGATCACACCAGTTAATCAAAATGGGACCAAGAAAAAAAGCTCACCCGAGACAATTACTCTCTGCCATACAAGAACAGCGTCTTGCACTTTTATTACCTTGTGCTCTTCTCTTACATAAATCCAGCTTTCAGTCTCACTTAACCCGATTAGTAAATACACAGGAATGCATTTTTTGTTTTGTTTTTTTTGCTTTACCTGGAGGTGGAATATTCTGCCTTTGTATAAGGTGGCAGAGAGTAGAGGCCAACAGATTCTGGTTGTGAGGGTGGTTATGGCAGCACTGACGCATAAGGTGGATGGTGGCATCCTCGACACTGCTGTAGTCACTATCGCTACCCCCAGAGGAACCACATCCTCGCATCAGAGGTTCACTCCCACGCACCAGAGGATCACCTGAAAAGTAGTTTAATACCTTTCAGAGCAGGAATGCAAGCAATACTGTACAACAAGTACAAAGTCCTCTTATCTTTGAAGACCTGTGTGTGGAGACCAACAAACAGGAATGAACCAGCATATGCCATACTTCTCTGAAAGATGACATGTGACAATAGATCACACTAATAATTTCTGAAAATAATATTGTGAAATGAACATTTATATACAATACTTCTAGACTCTACTGGAAAAGATTGGACTGTGCATATTTGAACTAGGTTTTGATTTTGCATGGTTAACTTACATAAACTCACTTATTAATTCTTTAACTGTTTACTACTGACATTTGCATCCATACTAATAATATATCTGTTATATCTATTAATAATAGAGGCTCATAGCTCCTATCATAGTCTCAGACCAAGCCTAATAAAATAAAAAGGAAATACTGTATTACAGAAAAAAAAAAAAAAAAAGGAAGTACAGAAAAGCTAAATTTAAAAAAAAATAAAAAAGCACAGAAAAGTTAAAGTTATTCGTCATGTTATATGCTCACTAGACAAAGAAAGACTAGCAATTCCCTGCTATTTGCAAAGCATTTAACAGGCTTCCATTTCACACTACCAGAGGATAGTAGCACTATACCTCCCAGGATAATTGCTATCTACCCACAAACTACCTATTAAATATTTTTTTTATAGTGATGTAATTCATACCTAACACAGTCAGCAAAGGCAACCAAAACACAGATCCTTCAGCTGAGCCCAGCCAATCCCTCATTGGTGGCTCAGCACAGAGCGATGCTAGTGTGTGCAGCGTCCGCGCCACTAGGGAAGTACTCAGAGTAGGAACTATAGCGGCTGTGATTTGTGGTGGAGCTTGTGGAGTAGCTGATGAGAGGGTATCTTCTGCACTTCTGGATTTTTCAGCAAAGCTGGCTTTTTCAAGATCTGTTGCACTCTCCCCAGCACTGGGAGATGTGCAACTCTCTACCTGATGCAGAACTTCAGTTTTGCACCACTCTGAAAAGGTAATAAAAATTTATTAAAATACAAACCATTGTTTTTAACATGCTGGCCATCTCCCACCACAGCAGCATGGCCCAAAAAATAAACACTTTTATCATTATTCAACACTTTCGCCATCATTCATACAATCATTATCTTTGTAGAGGAGTGCAGATATGACAGCTTTCAGATGCCACTCCAAACAGCAAATATCCCAAACCCCTCCTTCAAATTGCAGGAATTGTACTTCCCACCTCCAGGACTCAAATCCAGCTAACCGGTTTCCCTGAATCCCTTCAAAAAATATTACCTTGCTCACACTCCAACAGTTCGTCAAGTCCCAAAAACCACTCGTCTCCATTCACTATGTAACTTGCTCACACATGCCTGCTGTATGTAGATTTATAATCACAACTAAATACTAAACAAATATAGTAGAAAATGTTAAAGATACAATTAGAAAATATAAGTCAAATGCATGAAGAGGCAATGTACTTTTAAGTATACATACTATGATAAATCATACTGAGTTACACAATATTGATGAGTTAACCATTTACAATACCTTTATTATTGATATTAATACAAAATAACATAACATTTTAGAAGCTTTGTATTTCATTATAATCAAATTAACTAAGTTCAAAATGTTTATGTAAGGGAATACCAAACTGTGAAATCAAAATATCTAAATTTTCTGGAGCCAATAAACAAAGAAAAAAACAATGCTCAATGAGCTTACCTAGAATACCATGAACCAGTAATAATGGAAATCCAGAGTCGAGCATGAGGTGTATGGCCTGGGGCGACTGTGCAACAGTAGCCAGAGTCTGCAGGTGTGCTGGGGTGAGAGAGATCATGCTTGGATCTTGAAGAATTAATCTTCCTTCTACTGCCCCTGAAGATCCCTCTACCCCCTCTTTCATGTCATCAGTTCTAGCTGCACGGATCTCTGCTTCTCTGTCTTTCCTGTTGGAATGGTTTGTGTGTATATCAAGTACTATATAGGGTACAACATGTATTCTTTGTGCCAATTATCAAATTCAAAATTGTCACTTCAACTAGTTTTTATTTAAAATAAAATTTCCCCCTCCTTGTGTTTTTTTTTTTTTTTTATTTTATGCTGCATCTACCATCATTTTCCCATAGTTTTTCACCCAATTAGTTAAAAACAAGTTCATCTGCAATTTAACCAAACACATTTTGAAGATTATTATTCAAATTCTTGATGTCAAAGACAAAATAGTGATCATCATTAAAGCATGCCGGGTGGAGGAACCCAACATAATTTCATATTGAAATTAATATCCAATCCTGTTAGGTGTTTCAGTGCAGCAAACATTTATGCTGGACTGGTAACTTGTAGTGTGACTTCTCAGGATACCCTAAGGCTACTGTCTATGTGCTCAGTACCTTCTAGGTTTAAGTAGTGGATGAATATGTGTTCATGGTCTCCCTGTGGCGTTAAGTATTCAGTGCCAAATTTGTCGTGCATTTTTGAAGATAGAAATTAATATGGGCAATATAAGTCAATGACACAAGAGTCAATTACACATATCATTGGATTACATAAGGAAAGCCATCCAAAGGAAGGAAATAATAGAAGCCATCAGTGTGTATGAGCATTCAGTAAGGAACTGGTTGTGCCAGTTCCACAAGGGTGGTGATGGTATGCCCACACCAACAGCATGTCCAGTGAAACCTAGAAAATATCCCTATGTACATTAATAAGAGAGAGAGATTGAGACAAAACCACGTGTGACTGCACAGTTTAAAGAAACTAATCCAGAACAGCTTCATAATGTGCCTAGTAGAACTGTTAATAAGCATTTGAAGGAGCCTGGTTACAGCAGCTATCGACATGTCTAGAAACTGAGTGAGCCACATGCAAAGAAAGTGTGAAATCGTATTTGAAAGAAATACCAAATGAGGATCAAGGAAGGGTGGAATGAGGTTCTTTGAGTTATGAAGCCACTTTCAGTGACCTGAAGAGTGGTGGGAAGTTAGAACAGATAGACACCCAGGCAGCAACCCTATGGACCCATGCTACACCCATAATACTACAAAACACCTTGAAACTCTTCAGAGCCTGGGCTTGTTTTAGTACTGAATGTGTAGGTCAGTTGACCATGCTGCCGAAAAAGCAAACATGAACCAGTACAACTACCTAGATTTGCTCTGTGATCATTTCCCTGAATCTTTCCCAGTGTAAAGCGATGATTTTATGAAAGAATGTGCTCCTTGCCACCCTACTAAATGAGTTATTCATTAACTTCCTAACTGTAAAGTTCCCTTCTTTGATAATTGGCCAGGAAATTCCCCATACTTCAAGAACCCCAACGAGAACCTCTGAGCTGTGATACGAGTTCTAGATGGGAAGGATATCAGCTCACTCCCACAGGTGGAGATCATTCTTCATAAATCACGAAACAACATATGCAAGAAATCCTTAAGAATTTGTGTGAATCACTTCCAATACAGCTAAAGGATGTCCTAAAACACAAGGGATGACATACAGAACATTAATTTATTGGTAAGAACACAACAATATTTTTTTTCTCTCTATGGCCATGGTTTAAGAGGGAACTGGCTTAATTTGATGATGAGCACTGTACAATAAATGAACAGAAACACACATTCTCTATTTGTAGTTCTAGCAGCAAACCTAATCCAATACCCATTTAGGAACTTCTTACTAAACAGCAACAGCAGCAGGGGTCATGTGTAACGTCTTTCAAACACCTTGGTGAGGCACAACTCTTACTTCCGCATGTCTAATAACATTTCCACAACCACAACCATATGGTGTTTCTACTATATCTAAGCTACTTTATGTTATTCCTAGAACAAAAATACTATATCATTTTTTCATTCTATATTTCAATCTCAAAGAACTTAATACAGACAGTTCATATCTTCTCAATTACTTACAACAGTTCATGACTACCTCAAAAGCACAGTATGTAGAGAAAAGCCAGCCTCACCTGTCATCTGTGATTGACTGGTTATTGTCAATAACTGTTAGTACACACATGTTTAGCAGTAACTGAGTGAAGAGCTGTGGTCGAATGTGACACATGGAACACATGATGTGATCCAGGCCGACTTTCACTTCACCTTCGCTTCTTTCTGACCACTCGTAAACTCGTCTGCAATTGAGAAAATTGAACATTATAAGAAAATTATAATCATAACCATACATTTTTTTCAACACACTGGAAGTTTTTCACTAAGGAAGGGTGACCCAAATGAAGAAACACTTTCATCATTCACTCTATCACTGTCTTGCCAGAGGCATGTCAATACTACAATTCAGATGCCCCTCTAAACTGCAAATATCCCCAACTCCTCATTCAGAGTGCAGGGCTGTACTTCCCACTTCCAGGACTCAAGTCCAGCTACCCCCCACAAAATGTTACCTTGCTCATACTCCAACAGCTCGTAAAGTCCCAAAAACTATTAGCCTCAACTCACTTCCATCTAACAAGCTCACACATGCCTGCTGGATGTGCAAGCCCTTCACACACAAAACCTCCTTTGTCTCTTTCTCTCCAACCTAACCTAGGGCAACCCCCTACCCTGCCTTCCCTCCAACATAGATTTATACATTAAGCCATTCTACTTTGTTCTATCCTCTCTAAATATCCAAACCACCTCAACAATCCCTCTTCAGCCCTCTGGATAATACTTTTAGTAACCCCACACCTCCTTATCTTCAAACTATGAATTTTCTGAATAAATTTTACACCACATATTGCCCTCAGACAACATTTCCACTGCCACCAGCCTCCTCCTCACTGCAACATTCACAAGCCATGCTTCACTCATAAGTGTGTTTGTACCACTATACTCTCATACATTCCCCTTTTTGCCTCCATGGTTAATGTTCATGTCTCCACAAATGCCTCAATGCACCACACTTTTTTTCATCAATTCTATGGTTCATCTTATCTTCCACATACTTATCTGCTGACAAATCCACTCCCAAATCTCTGAACATATTCACTTCCCCCATACTCCCTCCTTCCAAACTGATATCCAATCTTTATTAACTCATTGTTGTCCTCATCACCATGATCTTTCCTATGTTCACTTTTAATTTCTTTCTTTCACATAGCCTCCCAAATTTGTCTACCAGCCTTTGCATCTTCTCTTCAGAGTCTCCCAAAAACACAGTGTTATTAGTAAAAAGCAACTGTAACAACTCCCATTTTGCATTGGATTCTACATATTTTAATCCCACACCTCTCCCCAACACCCCAGCATTTACTTTTTTAAAACTATATATAACCATAGTTGTTTAGTTAAGGATAGCATCCAGGATGCTAAATATTTTTTGAAAAACTAGAACAAGCTATAAATGATTATGGTGACTTTTTGTAAACTCATTTTTGCATGTGTACAAGAAATACAACAAAAGTGAATAGCAAATTCTTCCCGACCTCAGATTCTGGGAAGCGAGGTCATGCACGTACACTTTATAGTTACATATACAGTATACCTCTGCAGAACAATGACTGATGATAAACCTAGGACATCATTCATTAAATGAGTTGCTTTCACAAGCACAAAGACCTCTCAAGCCAAAAGAAATTGAGGAGGTAGAGAGAGGGAGAGATATTGAAGGGAGAAGAAGATGGTGAACAAAAGTGAGGAAATGAGTAGGGAGGAGGAAGAGAGAAAGATGTTGCTAGTCACAGTTTCACAATAAGTGCACAACACATGCTTACACCCAGACACTAACATAGGAGCTGATGGGTGATGGTGGGGAAGAGGAAATGGGAGAAGGAGAAAGAAAAGAAGATTTGAGATAAGGGAGGGAGAGGAATGTAGGAGTGTAGAAAATGTATTGGCAAGATATTATGCTGTAAAAAGTCAGAGATTTTTAAGAAAAGAGTGAGGCAAAGATTCAAGTACACAGGACTGAATGGGGAATATTTTCTAGTAAAAATGAGCCTCAGACAGGAATGCATTATGTTACTGAAGATACTGAACATGTTTATAGATGGAGGTTGTACAATTGCTGAAAGGAAGAGGTGTCATCCATAAAATTAATAAAAATTATATAAATTGGGGGTGATCACAGTTGCAGTTAGCTGGGAAGTATATGTTAGGCATTAAAATAAATTGTAGTTTGAAGGGGTATGCAAAGTGAACAGAAAAAATCTGGGAAAACCTGTCAGTAACTTGGATAAGTAACTGTACTGCTGGGATACCTTCTTTAAGTTGTGCACCCATACACATTCACATACATCAACCAGATAACTTCTGCAACCAATGCTCCCCTGGTAAATCTGAGTGGCCCAAGAATAGAAGTGATTATGGCAAGAAGACAGTTGAGAGGCAGGTCCAAGAGCAAAAACTCAACCTCCACAACCCCATACATACAGATGAGTGTACACACACACATTTCAATATACAGGCAGGCCCAGCTTTACAGCAATTCACTTTACAGTGTTGCATTAATGCAGAGGTTTTCAGCTATACCAATTCTTCATCTATTCATACTTCCTACAATAAATATATTCACCACTCACTATAAGCTAAGGACAAAAATATTTCAAGCTAAGTAATGTGTGTACTGTGTATGTATTTTTTCTACTGCCCACTTAATATATGATTATGTTAATATGTTATCAGGCTTTTACATGCATCAAAAAGTGAAAAAAAAGCTTTCACTTTATAGCAATTTTAGCTTTACAGCAGCAGCCTGGAACCTAACCTGATGTATAAGTGGGGCTTTCCTGTACCTAAAAGCATTTATTACTTTGTTTTAAGATAAAGAAGCGAACCTGAAGAGGTCATCAGTAATGAGGCTAGTGGTATCATGAGGAGTGTTCCAGAGAACAGCTGCAATGCAATGTAGCACTTCAGCACTAACTCCACTATTGATGCTTCCAGGTGATGACTGCGGTGACTGCTGCTGCGGCGCTGGATGAGGGGGACCAAGGTTATGATGGTAGTCGTCACTTCTCGGAGATGGAGATGGCGGATACATTACAACGTGGTTTAGCCATGATAGCAACACTGAAACCCCTTCCATGCTGCTACTGCCAACACACAGCTCATACAGCAGGGCAATTGCTGCATCTAAGCTGTTTCCACCTGTCACATGAAAAAAAAAAAATATATATATAAAAATATTGATCATCAATGAGGATGCATAAAATTTTGGGGGATTACTTAAGTATACTTGGTGGATTGAAGCTAAGTAATTACATCCCTAACGACCCAACTGCAATTGACAGGCCTTCAACTAACTACAGAAGTTTGACAGTTTAGCTGCCAAGATTGTCAAAATCAGTGTTTGGTCTCGCTTAACTACAGATGCAGGAAAAACACTTAAGATTGGTAAAATTTATACACAGGGTGAACTAAGGATTACAAAAAGATTCAGTAAACATGCTTTCAAAAAATATGTGAAAAATGCAATAAGAGATGCCTTACCTGCAGGTTGTCTGAGGAGAGGGTGAGTGAGCAGTGTCATAATCAAGGTGTGGAGGAGCTGGGGTGAGAGTGCTGCCAGGGCCAAGGTGGTGGCTTCCAGGGGAGCAGAACCAAGAAGTGCCAGGTGGAGAGGCCATGGAGGAGTCAGTAATAGTGTCACACAAGCTTCCATCACTCCAGCTACTGAGGCTCCTGCTTCCACGCCCACACTAAGGCCTCCCTCCACACGACACATACACTGATTGATCAGTCTTAGCCACCACATGCTACAAAGACAAAAAATGCATTAGCACCTGTATTAACTCCTCTATCTATGCTATGACAAAAGTAGTATACCTTACATTTAATCATTCAGAATAACAAAAGTCTTTGGTATATCAAATTTGAAAAAGCTACTGTGAAGTTATTAAAAATATTAAGCATAAAGTTGAGTAGTGAAAGTCTGGCCTCATGCCAGGCTGTGGGAGTAAAAGAACCCTAAAAACTGGTCACAGATATTCCAGGATGTCACTAGGTAAAAACTGCAAATCTGCTCCTCACATACCTTGCCCGATGAGGAGCATAATCAGTAATTGCAGTTTCATGTACACCTCTAGAAGCTCCTCTGAATGTAGTGGTGCCAAGTAACTTTAACTGAGATAAGCCGAGCGTTGATGAATCGCGGGGTCGATGAAGACGGACAACAACAATGGAGGCAACAACGGGCCGTGGAAGTACCAGACGAACACGGGAGAGTCCAGCGGTGCTCAGTGGTCCACTCACTGGCATGAGGTATCCGCCTTCAACTCCCACCTCCACGCACACAGCAGATGGGCAAGCTTTTGGAGAAACATTCCTATATTACATTTTATGCACACCACTTTCCTTCTCCATTACAGTCTCTCCTCATTTAGCAACATACTCATTTAACGACTTGAACGTATGAAGGGCTCTATGACCAGTATGCATACCTAAATAATGTATATTAGAGCTGATTTCCTCTATTCTGTTTATTACAATACACAGTACACTGCTGTATAAACATTTAAATTTTTTTTTTTTTTTCAACAAGTTGGCCGTCTCCCACCGAGGGAGGGTGACCCAAAAAAGAAAGAAAATCCCCAAAAAGAAAATGCTTTCATCATCATTCAACACTTTCACCACACACACATAATCACTGTTTTTGCAGAGGTGCTCAGAATACAACAGTTTAGAAGCATATACGTATAAAGATACACAACATATCCCTCCGAACTGCCAATATCCCAAACCCCTCCTTTAAAGTGCAGGCATTGTACTTCCCATTTCCAGGACTCAAGTCCGACTATATGAAAATAACCGGTTTCCCTGAATCCCTTCACTAAATATTACCCTGCTCACACTCCAACGGATCGTCAGGTCCCAAGTACCATTCGTCTCCATTCACTCCTATCTAACACGCTCACGCACGCTTGCTGGAAGTCCAAGCCCCTTGCCCACAAAACCTCCTTTACCCCCTCTCTCCAACCCTTTCGAGGACGACCCCTACCTCGCCTTCCTTCCCCTATACCGGATATATTATAAATGGTGCAAAGGTGACATTAAAACAATATCAAAGATGGGTGTCACAAACCCACTACCATTACAGCATGCTACTCAATTAACGACGAATTCATTTACTGACGTGGTCTTAGGAACAGAACTCCATTGTTAAGTGAAGAGAGGCTGTATATAATAATGAGTGAAACATTTGCAAAATTTACTAAACCAGCATATGCAATATACTGGCTTTACTGAAGAAAGCAGTTGTCTTCGATAAAGGTACCTACACACACCCAAACATCTGCTTCTAACTTATCTTCACTGGAACATTACATTTATTAAGAAGTCACAATACCACGGTTGGAACAAAACACAACTAACACCACAATCTTCAGAACAAGCCTTTTATCCCTTTTCTTTCACCTGACCCTTGATAATGGTTCAGCATGGAGTGAAATACTGTAAAGGCTCCTCTCCAAATACTTGGTAAGTTATGAATTATGCATATTTTTTTCACAAGAATGTGAACAGTTTATCAATCGTTCAATAAACTATAATAAATATACTGTAACTAGACAAGAGATACTGTAAACAACACATCACCATCCAGCTATTTACTAAAAAAATCATCTTAGTTAGGAAATCCTTATAATTTTTTGGCTGTGCAATTTACAAAAGCAGCTGAACAAGGTGAAGAAAATAATCTATTAAAGGGATAATGTAGGCAAGTCTAGCAAGGTAGCCAAGTACTGTCACTCCAGATATTCTTTTTTTTTTTTTTGGACTCTTCTTGATGCCAAACCCACATACTCCATTAGTAAATTTGCTTTACCTTATTTCCAGCATCAACTCTTCCTCTTATCAATTAATCTCTCTTCTTCTCTTACCCCTGATCATTGCTCTCTTCACCTACTACTGTTTTCTTTTCCTTGTTTACCTTTCTTAGACTTGCCGGGTTCTCTGTCCCCAACTTTTATTTTAGCATTTTCCTTATATACATACATATAGAGTTTCTTATTTATACCAATGATTTTGTTCAGAAGTTAGTTATGAGGTAAAGTACTTACAGACAAGGGAGACTGTGTGGGGAAACAAATGCACCTCGTGCAGCAGGATTGCACAAGGCAAAGTTAAGTTAAGGTCCACCCAACTTTCATCTGGGTAGAAATGGTAAGACCACGGAGCACTCTGAAAGAGATGAATTTTGTTATATAAAATGTAATGAGATGAATTTTGTTACATAAAATGTAACAGAGTAAAAAACTACCTCTAACGAAATAAAATGTAGTAAAGCTCACTACACACATTATTAACGTTTACTGTACACTGAACATCTGCAGAAGTAAAATTTTCTGATACTCCTAGTTGCAACATCCTGATAAAATACTGCACAGCTGACTAATATAAACAGACTGCCTCACACCCCTTCCCAGCAGACCCATTAATCTGCAGAAGTAACAGCTATGTAATCATACTTCTTCTTCTTGATGATTTGCCGGTACTTCTGGCCCGGGTCTTCTCCAGATGGTAACCCGGCTGTAATCATACTGTTTAACAATAATTTTAATCTTACAAAGGAGCTTAGAACATTGTTTTGATTTCAACAATACACTACTTACATTCAATGGGATTTACAAGTAAATTAACTAACTCTTAAAAACATACCTTAGTTCTTTGAAAGAGCTGGTTGGAATCAACAAGGACATTTGCAGGTCTTGCTGTTGGGTTGCTGGAAGTAACGACAGCCAATGGAGCAAAGTTGTAGAGCCCCTCGGTCTGCTCTAAGGGCTCACTGCGTTTGTTGGAAGGTGTGTTTTGGGTGGAGGGTGGGAGCGGTGGAGCCAGATGGTTCATGACTGCAGTGACCAGACCCCCACGTCCACCACCCATCATACCCACACTGCTCACTAGGTTCTCCCACAGCATCTGTTACAAACAGACAGAAGAAAATATCAATGTCTAAGTGATTGCAGTCATATTAATTTGAGTGGAATGTAGCAAGAAACTGAAAACTAACCTTCATGCCTCCAAGAGCAGCAAACTTCTCCAGTATAGTGGGACAGTCAAGCACTCGTGTAAAGAAACACAGAGCCGCTTCAGACAACAATGGAGGACTCCACCAACCACCTGCAATGACATACAAAGAGACATTTAATATAAACAATTTTATAATGAATTCTGAAGGATGGGTGATGGTGTTTCAATCTGGAGAATCATATGAACTGTGATCCTCTCTGACAGATTACTGTCAAGGTAGCTAATAAATGATTGATGGTAAATACATTTCATTCTTTGGGTAACCCTATCTTGATGGGGAAAAGCCAGTGATACAAAAAAAAAATTCTTAAGCATATGAAAAATCTGGTAGTCATCTGATTAGTATTTACATAAAGTACTAAGTCTGAGCAGGCTATTCAACACAAGAGTAATGAAGGCTCTACCTACAAAGGCGCTACCTATGAAAGCTTGTTACAAATTCTATTCAGCAACTTGTCAACTGACCTGGGGTGATGAAGGCCACAACAGGCCTGAGGATAAGCTCTGGTGCCGTTGCCTTGGTGTTAAGGGTGAGAAGCAACTGATAAAGTGCATCAGTGAGGGTTTCCCCAAGACATAACTTCTCTGACACTTCCCCACTCACTGTTCCCAACAGCATGGATACACTACTTCCTTCACATGCTGATACGGATTTCAACAATAGCTGCATGGTTTCACTGTTTTGTAATACTGAAAAAAGTAAAAGATAAAGGAAGGTAAGCATTCAGCAGAATTAAGAACCAAATTACATTACACTTAGAATCATCATTTTAAACTATTTACAAGGACATGGATACTGGTATATCACACAACAAAGCATCTCCTAATCTGCCCTTACTAAGACATGTGTGATAGTCTGAATAAAACAAAATTACAGGCATACCTTGCTGATACGGCAGATAATGTTCCAAACTGCCACTGTAAAGCGAATATCGCCTTAAAGCAAATCAAGAGCACATTAATTCTTCATATGCACTTACCAGCGCATATAAAAAGGCTAAAAATATATTTACATTATGCACCTGCCAGTGCATATAAAAACCTTAAAATATGTTTACACTATCATTTATTAAGTGTACAAAAGAACTAGGCTTAAAGAAAAGATGCAAAAGTAAAAATTAAAAAAAATGCCATTCAACTGATGTGCAGGTCACTGCCGAAAATAATACACATCAATATACTGTAACTGAAAAATGTTGTATTATTAATGTGTTGTGTAAACATTATGCAGAAAATTCGGAGTGTGGAAATTAGGAAAAGGTGTGGAGTTAATAAAAGTATTAGTCAGAGGGCAGAAGAGGGGTTGTTGAGGTGGTTTGGTCATTTAGAGAGAATGGATCAAAGTAGAATGACATGGAAAGCATATAAATCTATAGGGGAAGGAAGGCGAGGTAGGGGTCGTCCTCGAAAGGGTTGGAGAGAGGGGGTAAAGGAGGTTTTGTGGGCAAGGGGCTTGGACTTCCAGCAAGCGTGCGTTGAGCGTGTTAGATAGGAGTGAATGGAGACGAATGGTACTTGGGACCTGACGATCTGTTGGAGTGTGAGCAGGGTAATATTTAGTGAAGGGATTCAGGGAAACCGGTTATTTTCATATAGTCGGACTTGAGTCCTGGAAATGGGAAGTACAATGCCTGCACTTTAACCCTTTGAGGGTTTTCGTCGTACTAGTACGTCTTACGCGTAGGGGTTTTTGACGTACTAGTACTCATAAATTCTAGCGACCTCAAATCTAGTGGGAGAAAGCTGGTAGGCCTTCATATGAAAGAATGGGTCTATGTGATCAGTGTGCACAGTCTAAAAAAAATCCTGCAGCACACGGTGCATAATGAGAAAAAAAAACTTTTTCCATTTTTTTTTAATAAATCAGCGACTTTGCAGTGTATTTTCGTATAGTATTTATTGTTGTATTCTAGTTTTCTTGGTCTCATTTTATAGAATGGAAGACATATTACTGAAATTGAGATGATTTTGACTGGTTTTTACAATGAAAGGTGCCTTGAAATTGAGCTCAAAGTAGCAGAAATGTTCGATTTTTACCAAACTTCAAAAGTAAACAAATCGTGCCAAGTGTGCAATACACGTCAACTGGTGAGTCTAATATTCTTTCACAAGTGCACCAATAATATTTATACCATTTTTTACACTAATGCAGTAGTCTGCATAACAGTAAATCTTATATTTTTTGTGAGAATAAAAATTCAAAGTGGAAAGCAAAAGAATATAAGAGGGCCTTGAGACGTGACTAATGACTAGAGGAAATGTCATTTTAGTGCCAGGAATGTCTTTCTTGTTTATTCTGGACCCTATTCCGAAATTGGCATCTTTTGAAATTTGTGTGAAATTGGCAAAATTGCTAAATTCTGACCACTGTACTGGATAGTTGAATTTATAAATGGGTGGTTTCTTGCACCCATTCGATAGAAAAAATGGAGTTCTAGCGAAATATTCATGTTTTTTGTCGACTAGTACAGTGAAATTGGCCGAAAATGGGGCTCAAAGTGGGCAAAATCGCCGATCCGTAAACATCGCCGAGACCGCTAACTTTGCGAGAGCATAATTCCGTAAGTTTTCTATCAAATTTCAAACTTTTGGTGTCGTTATGATCGGGAAAAGATTCTCTATCTTTTCATAAGAGAAAATAATTTTTTTTTTTTTAAATTTGGCCGACCCTGAGAACGAGTTTCGGAGAGGGCCTGTCGACCCTCAAAGGGTTAAAGGAGGGGTTTGGGATATTGGCAGTTTGGAGGGATATGTTGTGTATCTTTATACATATATGCTTCTAAACTGTTGTATTCTGAGCACCTCTGCAAAAACAGTGATTATGTGTGAGTGTGGTGAAAGTGTTGAATGATGATGAAAGCATTTTCTTTTTGGGGATTTTCTTTCTTTTTTGGGTCACCCTCCCTCGGTGGGAGATGGCCAACTTGTTGAAAAAAAAAAAAAAAAAAAGAAACCTGTATATTGCTATACATACAGTGGACCCCCGCCTTACAATATTAATTCATTCCTGAGAGCTCATCGTAAGCCAAAATTATCGTTAGCCGAATTAATTTTCCCTATAAGAAATAATGGAAATCAAATTAATCAGTTCCTGACACCCCAAAGTATGAAAAAAAAAATTTTTACCACGTGAAATATTAATGTTAATACACAAACTGAAGAAGACATGCACAATTACTACTCTACTAAGAATAGAATACGTACATAACACTTACCTTTATTGAAGATCTGGTGATGATTGATGGGATGGGAGGAGGGGAGAGTGTGGAAGTTATTGTTTAGAAGGGGAATTCCCTTCCATTAGGACTTGAGGTAGCAAGTCCTTTTCCGGGGTTACTTCCCTTCTCTTTTAATGCCACTAGGACCAGCTTCAGAGTCACTGGACCTCTGTCGCACAACAAATCTGTCCATAGAGCTCTGTACCTCCTGTTCCTTTAAGACTTTCCTAAAATGGGCCATAACATTGTCATTGTACAGGTTGCCAACACGACTTGCAGTAGCTGTGTTAGGGCGATTTTCATCCGTAAAGGTTTGCAGTTCAACCCATGTTGCACACATTTCTTTAATCTCTTTTTTCAATTCCATACTAATTCTTGCCCTTTTTACCACAGGGATAGCACTAGAAGCTTTCTTGGGGCCCATGGTGACTTATTTTGAAGTTACAAGCACTAAAAACACTGGGATAATGTGAAATATACCGAATGTATGCGTAGATGCGACTGCACTGGCTGGCTAGTAAACACTGGCGCTGAGGCCACACGTGAGACGCATCCTGGACGAATCACGTAAGGGAAGTTATTTATCGGGAGGCGAGGCAAAATTTTTGCGTTCAAATGCTTCATATGGCGGATTTAACGTAACACGATGCGTTCGTAAGGCAGGGGTCCACTGTACTTCAAATATCTTTAAGCAATTATCAGTCCAGGAGAGTAACCAACGAACCTGTATCTGCAAGACATGCCACACTGTTGGGGGCAGAATGAGAGCAGGTTTGTGGTGTGTGCATGGCTTTGTGCTCGTCTGTTTGGCTGGAGCTGGCATCAGATCGCTGTTGTTCCAGTTTGCTGGAATCCGTCAGAGACCCTCTAGTATTCTCCTCAGCTTCAAAGTTTGTTCCCCCTGAACGAGACTACAGAGAAACACAATATGAAGGCATTTAATAAAAAGGTGGCCATGAAATTTTGAGATACTTTCAGTGCACCCACAGAGTTAAATTTCTTAATGTATAAGCTAAGTACTTCACACAAAAATATTAGTTTCTATTGAAGCAACACTGAACTATAAAAATAAACATCACCTTCACTCTATAATAAGGAATATGCAATTATATATGCAACCTGAAATAGAGAAATATCTACATCTACCCATGAAAGCCTCAAAACAAATGACCCATCATTAAGATATTCCATCTTGAAAAATGTGCATTACTGTATACTGCAAGAAATCTTCCTTTCACATTTATAATTTTTATGTATGTCATTAAACCAATTAAGCAGATTTCAATAATCAAACTAATGCCTTTATACATTTAAGTACCTAGGTAATAAAATCCATCTACCTTACCTAGACCAGGCTAGAAATGCTGGTAAAAGACTTGTATAACTAAGCTTTCCTAATATGCTAAGATTAAATGCATCATTTTTATATGGTATGTGCTTCTGATTTTTGAGATAACCAATAGCCAGGAGAGGGAAAGGGTTATTCAAGCCATACCAATGACAAAAAATTATGAATTGGAGTAAAACAAACAATTCAAAATTATGCCAAACCAACTTTGGGTCTAGGATGCACACTTATTTTTCTGGGGCTACAAATACTGTATGTAGAAGCACTACTGTACAATGTCTTCTCTATAAAGTCATCGCCCTTGTTCTGTATCTCCTCAATGAGAGCATTACTAGTGTACTATCATCTTCTCTATTTGGACATAAGAGATTAACTGGCACCATGATGCACATCTATCTCAAAAGACCTATAGAATCATACTGTCTTCCAGAATAAACAAGGAAGATAAATTTTCAGCACAAACCCATTCTGGGAAGAGACTAGGTGAACACTTCTTACCTGGACAGAGCTGGCAAGTGGTGTTTGGGCAAGCTTGCGGGAGAGATTAAGAAGTAGAGCATAGCAGAGCAAGCCGAGATGGTGCTGGCCCCTGACGACCATCTGAACCCAGAACAGAGGCAAACAGACCTCCTAACATATTTGCATTCTGGTTAGTGGCTCCATACGTCACTCCCTCGCTTGACATGAGGTGCCCATGAACCAAAATCACTGTAAAGTATAAATGTTGTTTACCAGAAATAAAATATCAGAAAGGAAGTGTTAAACAGGACAGGAAGAAGTCTGGAAAGAAACAAATTACAAAGAATCAATGATTAGTAGTATCAGTGGAGACATATACAGCATATTAATACAGAATTAGAACTAGCAGAAAATTGACACTCATGTACTGGAAGGCTATAACCTAGTTCTGAGAAATTAAAACTAATACTAGTGTAATACCATTATGCTACTAGAGAATTAGTTTTTTTTTTTTTCAACAAGTTCAATACTTTCATCATCATTCAACACTTTCACCTCACTCACACATAATCACTGTTTTTGCAGAGGTGCCCAGAATACAATAGTGTAGAAGTACATATATATAAGTATAAAAATACACAATATATCCCTCCAAACTGTCAATATCCCAAACCCCTCCTCTAGAGTGCACGCACTGTACTTCCCATTTCCAGGACTGATGTCTGGTTATATAAAATAACCGGTTTCCCTGAATCCCTTCACCAAATATTACCCTGCTCACACTCCAACAGATCGTCAGGTCTCAAATACCATTCGTCTCCATTCACTCTTATCTAGCAGGCTCACGCACGCTTGCTGGAAGTCCAAACCCCTCACCCACAACACCTCCTTTACCCCCTCCCTCCAACCTTTTTGAGGATGACCCCTACCCTGCCTTCCTTCCCCTACAGATTTATATGCTCTCCATGTCGTTCTACTTTGATCCATTCTCTCTAAATGACCAAACCACCTCAACAAACCCTCTGACTAATACTTTTATTAACTCCACACCTGATATACCTTTGATATACCTTTGAAGAATTTCGAGAGTATATCTACTCTCTGAGCCCGGCCATGGGCCAGGCTCGTCTGGTGCTTGCCTGGTCAACTAGGCTGTTGCTGCTGGAGGCCTGCTGCCCCACATATCCATCACAGCCTGGTTGATCTGGCACCTGGTGAAGATACTTGTCTAGTTTCCTCTTGAAGGCTTCAACACTTGTTCCAGCAGTGTTTCTGATATCTTCTGGTAAGATGTTGAAAAGTCTGGGACCCTGGATGTTGATACAGTGTTCCCTTATTGTCCCCACCACACCCCCTGCTCCTCACTGGGTTTATTTTACACTTCCTCCCATATCTCTCACTCCAGTATGTTGTTATGGCAGTGTGCAGATTTGGGACCAAGCCCTCGAGTACCTTCCAGGTATATATTATCATGTACCTCTCTCTCCTCCACTCCAATGAGTACATGTTCAAGACTTGCAGGCATTCCCAGAAGTTTAGGTGTTTACTGGCTCAATGTGAGCAGTAAACGATCTCTGTATTTGTTCCAGCTCCAATATTTCTCCTGCCCTGAATGGCGCTGTCAGCACTGAGCAATATTCTAAGTGAGGGAGCATTAGCAATTTGAAGAGTGTCACCATCGGCACTGTTTCCCTTGTTTTGAAAGTTCTCAATACCCACCCAGTCATCTTCCTGGCTGTCGTGATCTTTGTCTTGTTATGGTCTTTAAAAGAAAGGTCCGCTGACATAATTATTCCTAGGTCTTTTACGTGTTCCTTACATTCTATTTGGTGACCCTCTTGAGTTTTGTATATAGTGCTCCTTCTGAGTTATTCATTCTTTCCATACCTAAGTAGCTGGAACTTATCACCATTGAACGTCATGTTGTTTTCCACTGCCCACTGGAAAACCCTGTTTATGTCTTCCTGTACTTTTTCAGTGTCCTCTACCGTACTGACTTTCATGCTTATTTTAGTGTCATCTGCAAATGATGATACAAAAGTGTGCCGGGTGATTTTGTCTATGTCTGCTATGAGGATGATGAACAGCAGAGGTGCCAGGACAGTGCCTTGGGGCACTGAGCTTTTGATCTCGCTGATGCTGGATCTTGCCATGTTCACTACTACTTTTTGTGTTCTGTGTGTTAGGAAAGCGAAAATCCATCTGCCTACCTTCCCCGTAATGCCCATGGCCTTCATTTTGTGCGCTATCACTCCATGATCGCATTTGTCAAACGCCTTTGCAAAATCTGTGTAAATCACATCTGCGTTTTAGTCGTCTTCCAGTGCCTCTGTAATTCTGTCATAATGGTTCAGCAGCTGTGACAGACATGATCGTCCTGCTCTAAAACCATGCTGGTTCGGGTTATGTTGGTTGTGCTGGTCCATGAAATTTGTAACCTGCCATCTCATCACTCTTTCGAAGATTTTTATGATGTGAGAGGTTAGGGCTACTGGTCTGTAATTTTTAGCTAGTGTTCTACTGCCTCCCTTGTGCAAAGGAGCTATGTCTGCACTCTTTAAGGCCTCCGGTATTTCACCTAGATCTAAGCTCTTTCTCCAAAGAATACTGAGGGCTCATGCTAGAGGTACTTTGCACTTCTTTATAAATAGAGCATTCCATGAATCTGGTTCAGGTGCTCCTAATTTCCACACACCTAATTTTCTGCATAATACTCACACCACACATTGATTACAGACAGGACATCTCCACTGCCTCCAACCGCCTCCTTGCTGCAGCATTTACAACCCAAGCTTCACACCCATACAAGAGTGTTGGTACTACTATACTTTCATACATTCCCTTCTTTGCCTCCATAGATAACATTTTTTGCCTCCACATATACCTCAATGCACCACTCACCTTTTTTCCCTCATCAATTCTATGATTAACCTCATCCTTCATAAATCCATCCGTTGACACATCAACTCCCAAATATCTGAAAACATTCACTTCTTCCATACTCCTCCTCCCCAATTTGATATCAAATTTTTCTTTATCTAAATCATTTGATACCCTCATCACCTTATTCTTTTCTATGTTCACTTTCAACTTTCTACCTTTACACACATTCTCAAACTCATCCACTAACCTTTGCAATTTTTCTTTAGAATCTCTCATAAGAACAGTATCATCAGAAAAAATTAGCTGTGTCACTTCCCATTTTTATTTAATTCCCCATAATTTAATCCCGCCCCTCTCCCGAACACCCTAGCATTTACTTCTTTTACAACCCCATCTATAAATATATTAAACAACCATAGTGACATTACACATCCCTGTCTAAGACCTACTTTTACCGGGAAGTAGTCTCCCTCTCTTTTACACACCCTAACCTGAGCCTCACTATCCTCATAAAAACTCTTTACAGCATTTAGTAATTTACCACCTATTCCATATACTTGCAATATCTGCCACATTGCTCTCCTAACCACTCTATCATATGCTTTTTCTAAATCCATAAATACAATAAAAACTTCCCTACCTTTATCTAAATACTGTTCACATATATGCTTCAATGTAAACACTTGATCTACACATCCCCTACCCACTCGAAAATCTCCTTGCTCATCCGCAATTCTACATTCTGTCTTACCTCTAATTCTTTCAATAATAACTGTACTGTACTCTTTTCCTGGTATACTCAGTAAACTTATTCCTCAATAATATTTACAATCTCTTTTGTCCCCTTTCCCTTTGTATAAAGGGACTATACACGCTCTCTGCCAATCCTTAGGTACCTTCCCCTCTTTCATGCATTTTTTTTTATATCACACTGGCCGATTCCCACCAAGGCAGGGTGGCCCGAAAAAGAAAAACTTTCACCATCATTCACTCCATCACTGTCTTGCCAGAAGGGTGCTTTACACTACAGTTTTTAAACTGCAACATTAACACCCCTCCTTCAGAGTGCAGGCACTGTACTTCCCATCTCCAGGACTCAAGTCCGGCCTGCCGGTTTCCCTGAACCCCTTCATAAATGTTACTTTGCTCACACTCCAACAGCACGTCAAGTATTAAAAACCATTTGTCTCCATTCACTCCTATCAAACACGCTCACGCATGCCTGCTGGAAGTCCAAGTCCCTCGCACACAAAACCTCCTTTACCCCCTCCCTCCAACCTTTCCTAGGCTGACCCCTACCCTGCCTTCCTTCCACTACAGACTGATACACTCTTGAAGTCATTCTGTTTCGTTCCATTCTCTCTACATGTCCGAACCACCTCAACAACCCTTCCTCAGCCCTCTGGACAACAGTTTTGGTAATCCCGCACCTCCTCCTAACTTCCAAACTACGAATTCTCTGCATTATATTCACACCACACATTGCCCTCAGACATGACATCTCCCCTGCCTCCAGCCTTCTCCTCGCTGCAACATTCATCACCCATGTTTCACACCCATATAAGAGGTTGGTAAAACTATACTCTCATACTTTCCCCTCTTTGCCTCCAAGACAAAGTTTTTTGTCTCCCAGACTCCTAAGTGCACCACCCCCTTTTTCCCCCCTCATCAATTCTATATTCACCTCATTTTTCATAGCCCCATCCCGCACGCCACCCCCAAATACAATACTTTTCACCTCCTCCATACTCTCTCCCTCTATATTTATAAACAAAATCCCAAAAACCCTCCAACACTATGCCCCCCTCCCCCCTGTTTTAAACATTTTCTGTCATAATCCCGTCACTCCCTGTTTTAAAACCCTCTTTCATTCTACGTAATGCCTCACGCACCTCCCCCACACTCACATCCTGCTCTTCTTCACTCCAAAAGATGGTATATTTCCCCTGCCAGTGCATGAAATTACCGCCCCCCTTTTTCTTCGTTGACATTTAAAAAGTTCCTCAAAATATTCTCGCCATCTACCCTTTACCTCCCCCCCTCCCCATCTACTAACTCCCCTACTCTGTTTTTAACTGATAAGTCCATTTGTTCCCTAGGCTTTCTTAACTTGTTTAACTCATTCTAAAAAATTTTCTTATTTTCATTAAAATTTCTTGACAGTGCTTCTCCCACTCTATCATCTGCTCTCCTTTTGTACTCTCTCACCACTCTCTTCACCTTTCTTTTACTCTCCATATACTCTACTCTTCTTATAACACTTCTGCCTTGTAAAAACCTCTCATAAGCTACCTTTTTCTCTTTTATCACAACCTTTGCTTCATCATTCCACCAATCACTCCTCTTTCCTCCTGTACCCACACTCCTATAACCACAAACTTCTGCCCCACACTGATACTATATTAGTGAAATACTAGTACTGTAGTGTACAGTACAGTACTAGAAAACATTTTTATGAAAACTTAGTACTAGTGGAAAATTAGTAAATTATCATCTTGTTTGTCCAACAATTTGTCAACCTAAAACTTTGTTCCACTGTAAAAAAAAAAAAAAATTCACTAGCTCGTACACTTGTCCTTCAACAGAAAAATCTCCCATCACCTGACGTTAGCATCCTATTTTCTCTGTAGCTTCTCCAGATTCCTGGAGAAGCTGTAGTCCCCATGTGCCCTCACTTAACCTCAAATATTTGCTTACAAACCAAGTTAGCCAGAAAGCCGAAGCATTAATTTTTATTTTCAACGAACTGGCTGTATCCTACTGAGGCAGGGTGACCTAAAAATAAAAACTAAAATTTCTCTCGTTAAAATTAGTAATGTATACAAGAGATGGGGTTATTAGGCCCTTGATCCCAGTATTTTAGTTGCCTCTTATAACATGCATGGCTTACAGATAAATAATAGGGTAATATTTACTCAGATTCCTAATTTTACACATTATCCATGCTGATGAGTGTGATAAGGAAAACAACAATGTAAAAATGCATAAAGGAAGCGAAATGTATTTTCTATACAACAGAAAATACAAATTAAGGGGCTGAAAAGAAGTGTATCACAGTAAACACAGCTAAGTTTAAGAAAGAGAATGGTGCTGGACAATGTATAATTATCTCATGTCAAGAGACAAAACTCTTATGTTAAATGCTGAAGATGACTGTACTGTACAGTACTGGGGTGAGGTTAAACATAAAACATTAGGTGGGAATCAGAACACTGATTGGGACAATGTTTTGTACGAGTGATTAGGCAGCATCAAAGTGAAAAAATTATTTGTACATAAAGATTAAATACACAGAACATTAATTTTCATATGTGATGTACAATGCAAATGGAGATGAAGAGAGCAACAACGACAGCTCTGAGGTGAAAATGTCGCATGGTGAGAAATTGGCAAGTGAAAAATTTGTCAAATCTTTCAAGCCAACAGAAGTGAAGACTCAACCCCTGTAACCACATATAGGTGAGTACAAGTGCCTGCTATTGGTACATCAACAAATACAGTGGACCCCCGGTTTACGATATTATTTCATTCCAGAAGTATGTTCAGGTGCCAGTACTGACCGAATTTGTTCCCATAAGGAATATTGTGAATTAGATTAGTCCATTTCAGACCCCCAAACATACACATACAAACGCACTTACATAAATACACTTACATAATTGGTCGCATTGGGAGCTGATCGTAAACCGGGGGTCCGCTGTACTTAGTTAATACAGAGCTTTGATTAAATATATTTTATACATTAAACAAATAATGAACCTATCATGAAAGATTATGTCCCCTGGATGTAAGGCAATGAGGCCATACAAAGAGCCTAGTTATAGTCGGAGTAATGTACAAAATCTCAATTCCACAACTATAGTGGAGTAGGGCTATATCTGTTGTTTTTAGTTACTGGGATGACATCATAGCCTAAACACTATTTCCATAGGATATTTAAGGAATGAGACAATTTTTTTTTTTAAGCTGATGAACAGAATTTTATGAGTCCAGACAGACAAGTAATTGACACTTCCTGGGTCAACTTACCTCAGTGAGAGACAGCCCGTGTTAAAAGTTAATAATTTTGTAAAGTGTGTGACGAAAATTCTTTATACAAGCTGAAGGACACAATATATGTCAATACATAACAAAATTACACTTACCTGTCGAATTAATGATGGCTAACTGAACATGCATACGATCCATTCCATCATAATGCATGGACAAGAGTGTTCCTAGCAGACAGCACTGAGCATCTAAGGGTCCCATAGATAAAGATATAGCTCCCTGAGGCTCCAGCAGACGTGATACTAAACTAAGAAGCGCATATTTCAGAGTGGTGCCAGACACACTGGTCACGCTGATGACGTCACACCGCACGCGAAGGCGGACTAATAAATCTTCTAAGAGTCCAGTTACTGTACTGCCAACCTAAAATAACATTATGGTTGTTAAACAAAACAAGAGCAAAGTATATTCACTAAAAGAAATCAATACAATTCATTCCAACATTTCAAAGCTATATGCTGAAGATTCTCATGAGAATAAATAAAAAGGATAAAAAGGCACAATACCATGACAAACAACACACAAATAACCTACAGACAAGAGAATGAAACTTACGAGGACGCTTCGAGCCAACCTAGACCATTAACTAGTCCAAGTTGGATCAAAAAAAATTTTTTTTTTTCACACAAATCAATTTTACAGGCTAAGAGAGCTTATCTTCCCTCACCTCATTTCAAAGCCCCAGCACTATCTGAGGTATACTACCATCCCCCAGAATGCAACCCACACCAGTTAGCTAGCACCTAGGTCCTTATTTGCTGGTAGGTAAACAGGAACAGCAGGTGTAAGGAAAAAAGCTCAATGTTTCCACTCGTATCAAGGGTGGTGTGTGTTAGCTGAGTGCACTACCAACTGAGCTACAGGACACCTTTCTCCATGTGTAGGTTGTTTGTGTATAGATATTAAGAGCTTCTTCTTTCAACAAACCAGCCGTATCCCACCGAGGCAGGGCGGCCCAAAAAGAAAAACAAGTTTCTCTTCATAACTTTAGTAATGTATACAGGAGAAGGGGTTACTAGCCCCTTGCTCCCCATTTTAGTCGCCTCTTACGACACGCATAGCTTATGGAGGAAGAATTCTGTTCCACTTCCCCATGCGGAAAATATTAAAAGCTACTTTTACTATATTATCACGTGAAATACACAAAATATTAATGTCATACTTACAACATCACTTCTTATATCAGATCCTGTAGCACAAGAACCAGTTAACAACTTCTGTAATGTTGGAACAAAGTTGACATCTGTAATGATGTTGATTGCCATTCCACTCTGCAAAAACAAAATTATCAGGGCTAGTTTTTCAACACCATTCTAAGGCAGAAAATTAAGAATATACACTGAATATCTAACGTGAACATCGAAAGATGGGGCAAAGAAACAGACAGAGGACCAAGTTGAAATTTAAATAAGAAATGGTGCATAGTAGAAAGATAAATACTTACAGATTTTTAAAAATAACTAGAAAACTTACTAAGCCACTCCTTCCTAGTGCAGGCACTGTTCTTCCCACCTCCAGGACTCAAGTCTGGCTAACCAGTTTCCCTGAATCCCTTCATAAATGTTACCTTGTTCACTTCAACACATACTCACCAAATCAATATGATCATACTGGTCAGCAGTGGTGGGAGGTAGCGGGTCTTGTGGGGTATGGTTGCAGCACAGAGTGAGTGTCTGTAGTACAAGGCACCAGCACCGCATGCTCACACTCCCACTTCTGTAGCATTAGAAACATTCATAGTTTTTAAAAAAATGCTCGGTACTGGTCTGTTCAATCTAAATTTTAATTTCTTTTGTTATTTTTCTTTACCTTAACATAGTTAGCTCGCCAGATTCATGTGGTTTCTATTTTCCACAATTCTATTGTTAACATATTTACTAATGAATGATCTGTTAATAAATTTGGTCATTTTCAGGTTTATTCATACTTCCCATTTTCTCTTGGCTTGGCACATGGCCCTTAAACTGAAAACTATCCAAAGAATTTCATTTAACAGCTGATTGGTGGATTTCCCACTCAAATTTGTTTTCTTTCTAATAATTTGTCAACATTAACCAAATTAGACAATACTAAAAGTGAGATGGTCTCCTGACAACCAAAATGATCTAAAACCCAAAACATGAATGTATTATTTGGGCAATTATATATTATTCACCAATTTTAGATTCGTGGATCTCAAGGAAAAAATTCCAAAAATTTGGGCGATTTGATGCATAAAAATAGATTTAATAAAAATAAAAAAAATTATTCCTCAAGAAAATAAATTTGCAACACTTGTAGTGTAAAAAAGACAATTACAAGTTTCTGAAAATTCATTCAACTTACGTTCGCATATTAAATAAATTCAATACTTATGAGAACTGACATTACTCAATGTCAACAATGACGAGACATTCATGCAGTTCTATCAATACAGGCTCAACTGAAAAAGTAAAATCCATCTATACTTCTTAGATGCTTACCTGACAACTGCTGCCAAGAGTGCAGAGATGGCCCTGGGAGTGAGAGGTACAGTGGGTGCAATGGAAGGGGTATACTTGCCACCAGCCAACTCAAGGTTAATACTCAACCATAGTCCCAGAACTGATTCAACATGGCTACCATCAAACTGAAACATTGAAAATGCATTTTTTTTTTTTTTAACCTGTTGGCCATTTCCCACCTAGGCAGGGTGACCCAAAAAGAAAGAAAAAAAACTTTCATCACCATTCAACACTTTCACCATCACTTATACATAATCATTGTCTTTGCAGAGGGGCTCAGATACGACAGTTTAGATGTCCCTCCAAACTGCCAAAATCCCAAACCCTCCCTTTAAAATGCAGGCATTGCATTTCCCATTTCCAGGACTCAACTTTGGCTAACCAGTTTCCCTGAATCCCTTCACAAAATATTACCCTGCTCACACTCAAACAGCTCATCAGGTCCCAAAAACCATTCATCTCCATTCACGCCTAACACACTCACGCACATGTTGTAATATTAATACAATGTGAATGAATGGTTTAGAAAGCCGACAAGATGATAAATGAGACGCTTGTTCAACATCGGGGTATCTTTATTCTAGAAACCTTTTGCCAGCCACCTTTCTCTGCACTGGACTGAAGCCACTGACTGGTGAAATATTTCCAGAAATATGATACCCAGATGTTGCACAAGTGTCTCATTTATCAATATTAATATGTTTATTCCTTAGAGTTAAACAAAGTTTCAACTGCATTACAGCAAGTTCTCTTCTATTTAGAATGCGTAAGTGAGTGTGTCCGAAATTTAGAAAATTCTGAATACAAATCAGACTCTCCCCAATTCAGAAAAAATTCTGAAGTAACTATTCTACAAATTGCAAGAAACAAACTGAATCTTCAATTTCAGATATGAGCCAGACAGGAAGTCTGAAGCAGAAAAAAATTGTCTAATACATACCCTGAAACATGAGCTAGATTATCTATTGAGATGTAACACTAACAAGGATATCTAAAGTATCCATATAAACTTGGCACCTGAGTTTTATTTACCTGAAGCCATGCTAAGTAACTTGTAACCTTAACCACTAATAAAATCTGCTTGCTCTCTCTACACTTTAGTCACTGGTTTAGTCTCTTATTCTTCATTTAATGTGGAATTCTCGTAATTGTTTCCATTTTAGAGAAACAAACTTTACAGTCTGATATAGGCCTGATACCTGACTTTACAGTCTCAAGTCAGCCATAGGAAGTACAAATAAAACAACTGAAATGCATCTGGTGTGAGAATGGGTTCTGGGCTGCTGGGATAGTCTGAAAATGTATTAAATAGGAATTATTCTAGGAATGGAAAAGGAAGGGAGACATGAATGGACTGAAAGTGGTAGGCAGGTCCAACCCTGGATGTTATGAGGGTAACTGTGAAGCTAGTGATTCCTGAGTGGTTCATCAGAACGAATACATGAAGTTATTAACAGCTGGAGTGGGATCTAAGAGAAGGTAGTTACTATATCAGTGATGGTAATGTGACTGTTCCACCTTTTTGGGGGTCATTTTTGGTGGGAGACAACTCACAGAATCGATGGGAATTGAACCCAAGCCAGTGCACTATCCACTGCACCATACTGGCCTAAAAAGATTCATCCTCCTAGATATATTTCTATGCCTGTTCTAGGAAAGGCAGCATGGCATCACTGATCACAACAGATTTTTACAAATGAATCTCAATAACTGGGACTTGAGCTAGAGCTTGCCACAGGCATGTTTGTCATGTGGGTTCGATAACGTGGATGGGGTAAAAACACTCACGTAGGCTGGATAGTACGTATAATTATAACGGAAAGCATGGGAAGCACCCTCAGCCGCCCTGCCCCTCTCTGCTCCCTACCTCAGACTGACCCACCAGTGCCTAGAGGGTGAGCGGTGTTTAAAAACATGCTATGGTCAGCAGCCCAAAGTGAATAACAGTAAGTGATTCACACAGACGGTTGGTAGCGAGTCATCTACTGGTAACTAGTTACTGGCAACTGGTACTACTGAGAGCTCGGCGACGCTAATGTATGTCGTCCCGGCATACAGCTAATACAAACTAGAGACGGCAGGCGTACGGCTTGGGCTGATTCTATACAATGTCAAAGTACACAACAATTGAACATTATAACATAAGGAGAATATTGGAATGGAAACTTACATAATTGACTATAATGAAACTTACTGTAATGCATTACAAGGTATGATATAGCACAACTCATCGAATGAGACTCAACATTGGGATTACACAATAGAAGTGATAAAAAAAAATTTGATCGATCGATCTGTATTCACATGATCTACGCATTCTGAGGAAGAAATATATACAAAGAAAGAAGTGTTTAGCAGAAAGGCAGATCCGGTGCACTCAAATCTAGACTGTTAAATCTCAGAATTCGGAGAGAACGTGAACACAAAAAAAAATTCTTGAATACTGATAAGTTGATACTGTAATTATTCATCTATACAGGTTATTTACATTTAACCCCAACTCTGCTAGGGTGAGAATGACATATGCAGAATGGGTGTCATCTCAGGGAGGATCAAACTCTGTTGCACTGGCTAACTCATGCTGTATTTGAGGCAAATCTGAATTGGTAGTTACAAATAATACTCGAGGATTTCTCAATACCTGTCATGTACGTAGGGAATAACGACATTCAGGTTGAACGTCTGACTGAGTATTAGAGGTAGAGTACAGGATCAGGAGGATTGTCAGAGTCTGTCACATTAGTCTGGGTAGGAACATCTTTATCATCACATACTAACTTCATATGATCTAAATGCGATTCTTTATACTGACCAGTACTAATTTCTCTAACCTTATACTTATTGCCATTGATATGTTCAACTACTCGCTAAGGACCAACAAACTTTTGATCAAGCTTAGGCATTGCAGACGTTTTGTTAAAGTTTGTCAGCATAACTCTTGAACCTACTTTGATTTTGGACGGCTTTGCTCGAGTGTTTGCAACTCTTGTAAATTCTGCTGTTGATTTATGAAGTGTTTCACGGATTCTTCTAAAGACACTTTGAGCTAAGCTGGTAAGAGTTGCTATGAAATCATCAGGGTTGTAATTTGGTTTTGGATTAGAATATAACAACTCATAAGGCAAGCGTTTATCTACACCGTACAATGCATAATGTGGAGTGTCACCTATGGAAACATTGTAAGCAGAATTTATAGCACACTGCACATCAGGTATAACTTCATCCCAAGTTTCACTGTTGGGATTGATAGTGGCTCTCAAGACATCAAGTACTTTCTTATTGGTTCGTTCCGCTAAACCCATTGCTGGCAGGATGATGAGGAACAATGGTGGATTTAGAGATCTTGTACAAGGTACACAAATTTTCAAGAATCTCATTACAGAATTCACCTCCATTATCTGTTTACTAGGACTTAGGGGTGGTATGCCTGCAGATAATGCGTTCTTTTAAACGCTTTAGCTACTGTCTCGGCAGTCTTATCTGCAATAGGAACTAACTCGCAATATCTGGTGAAATGGTCTACCATAACACACAGATGTTTGTTGCCCTGGAGGGAACATTGGAAATTAGTTAACAGATCTAGTGCAACTCTTTCCCACGGTTCGCTAGTAGTTGGATACACTTGGATTGGATTAGGGCCATTAGCATTACCTTTATGTTGCATGCAGACACTACATTTCTTAACATACTCAGAAATGTCAGTTGCCATACGAGGCCAAAAGTATTTCAATCTGGCTTGTTTTACTGAACAATCCATACCAAGGTGCACAACACCTGGTACATCGTGAACTAGCTATAAGGCTACATTCACTAGTGACTGTGGAATTACTAACTGGTATACCCTTCTGCTAGGAGTACCCAACTCGGCTGTTCGATAAAGTAATTCTTGGTTCATGACAAAGTCACTGATGGGTGCTGGTGGCTTCATAGTCAGAATAAGATCTTCCTGGAGCAGGAATCGAATCACACCAAACCACATGGGATCTGTTCGTTCTTATTGGAGGAAATGAACAAACTCGGTGGAGTGGATGACTCTCCCCAGTTGAAAAAAATAGCGCTATAACACGCAATATGAGCAAGGGAGAAAACGGATCTCTCTCTCACTGTAAGCACAGGGGAAAAGAAATGAACACGGTCGACAATACTGGTATTCATTCTGAGTCGCACACAATGACACGAAGTATCAACTATAAGGAGACTACACTTACAAACGTTAACAACATGTGAAGGTTACTCGAGAAACAACGTTTTACATTACATGGATTACTGTCAACGAGGATAGTTTCACCATCTAGAACACAAGGAACAACAACAACACTCAAGTGAGTACACTAGCCACAGAAACGTCTTTCTGCAATGGCTTGTGACATCAGCAAGAGATGGCACAACTCATTACAAGTAACGTTCTTCACAAAGCGCCCCCTGGAAGGAACGACTACTTGAACAAGTCGCCATCGCAGGGATAGTAGTCTCAGCACCCAGGGTTGTCTGAGGTTACTCTGAAACCCAAGGTAACTGTACACTATCCTGCGTGCACGATATTGTGGCTGGATTCCAGACAGGAGTGACAGTATTACTAGTGCCTGACCGCTCAGCTACGTTAATAAGTAATTCACAGAGGAACTTAATCTGAACTTCACATTCCGCAGCACTTTAACAAGTCTCAGATACTAGCTGTGAGAACAAACACGTTGTCTAAGAGCTAGGTATTGTCTTTGAGTCAGTAAGGGAATATTAGGACTGTGGACTGATTCATGTTTACTTGGACCGGCATGGGACACTACGTGAGCATTCGAAAGTGACTGGGACAATGTCAGTCGATAAGGAACTATGAGGACTGACGACAGGAGCAGCAGTAGCCTGAGAGGTCTGAGTGTCGCCATTCACTAAAGTATCACTTGACTTATGTGAGACATAATGGCAAAGAAGTTGCACAAAAACAAATAAGGCAAAAATAATGAATAATAAAAATGACACAAAATGCTAAAATTGAAATAAAAGAGATGTAACTAATTCTGCAGAAGTAATAAAAAAAATGTCTAAGATACACTGCAAGAGGAAGGACAACTCAATGTAAGGGACTGCTGGCCAAGATAAAAAAAAATACATTGAAATTTACAAGTAAAACATATTACTGGAGGCTGAATTAAATGCAAAATGAGCTGTCTGTACTCTTGCTAATAAAGAAATTAACTAATAAAACTGTAAATCAATGTAAAAAGTATAAAATAAAATCACTAAATTGTATGCAGAGAGAGATAACTGGGAAATTTAAATATTTTCTAAGAGTGCAGAAACAAAATTAAAATATAATGCAAAGACAACATCAGGAAAAATAATAAAATGAAAAAGAGGAGACTCAACAATAATGAACTGAGAATAATAATGCATAAAAATATCAATAAAAGAAACTAATTCACTGCAGAACAAGTGCAACAAAATAAGGCACAGACATAATCAATGCAGTAATAAAAGTTACACTGGGAAAATGTAGGTTGAATAAAAAAAATATGGAGAAAGACTGATTGAACACTAACTCTTAATTGTAAATTAAACAAAACAATTTACTCAGAGAAAAAGAAAACAGTTTACGTTAAAAAGAAATTAAAATTACACTAAGAGTGAATTTGTTCATAGAAATATGAAAAATATGAATAAAAATAAAACAAGAAACAAAACTGGAAGTGTAACACTTACAAGTGGCGGGGCACACAACACTTACAAGTGGCGGGGCATTGAATCTCAATAACTGGAACTTGAGCTAGAGCTTGCCACAGGCATGTTGGTGTAAGATTTATCTGAATAAATTTTCAATGTGGTCACAGTGGGTCCCATGATAACCTTCCTCGAGTGTAGCACTACAATTAGTTGCATGAATCTTACCGTGCCAGCATGGTACAGTAGTCAGTGCATTAGTCTGCTAGTTTTAGGACTGTCCTGCTAGCTTCAGGATCGACTTGCATTGGGTTTGAATCCCTGCCCATTCAAGAGTTGACAATCGTGTTATTATGATTTTGCCAGTCACTTTTGGGACGTGGTAAATGCTTAAAAAAAAAAAAAAATAAGCAAAGATAGGACACCATGAGCCCCTGCACCCTAAAACCCCAAATGGTAATTTGAAAACACTAACATACACCTGTACTATACATGCACCCTCCTTGTCTTACCTCCATAGAAAGGTGAAGCAAAATTTTTTGGAAAACGTCAGTAAGTAGTTGAACACTAGCAGTAAGGTCACCAGGACCACACACCTCTGTATCTGCCCACATACATTTGGGGACCTGTTTAGTAAATATATTATTCCATACCCAATAACTTAATAAGGTTATATTAAAAATACCTTAACAGAGTATGACTGAATAATAAAAACTAATATTTTTTCTTCATCAATTAACAAGAGTAAAAAAAAAAAAATCAGAAGTGGTTTAAGTATTACTGATCTTAGTAGTGTGTGCATATTCCACAGGGACATAGGAAGACCTTAAAGAACTGGACCAAATCACAAATAATCATGGAACTAAAGCTTCACAGAAGCTAAAGCTGAGACACTCCTCTTATTACTGTAACAAAATCATCACACAAAAAGCAGGATGTTACAGAATCACCATCACACTAGCACAGATAATATAATCACTCAAACATCACTCCACCTGACAAAACATGGCAGTCAGGTGAAAAGCCACTAGACCACATTATTCAACCTTATGCTTTCTCACACCTTGTATATTTGAATTGATCAAGGTCTCAGGACCAAAATACTTCCAATGAACATATCCAGAAGTGACTGCATTTGTCTTTTTCAAATGCTCTTTCCAAGCCTTCAATAATACATATGTGATTCTGTTAGTCCATAGTTTATTTTACAATTGCTATATAAATGGTACTTATGGTATAGTGTGTGTATTTACCATTTTCATAGATTTAAAATGCAATTGTTAGTTTTACTACAGTTATTTTTTATATTAATATGGAGTTCCATGAGTTTGGGTCAGGGACATGGTGCATGAACATGTTTTCAATAGTTCGCTCAAAGTCAAGTAGAATTATGGTTATATCTAATTCTATAAAATATGATTCTAAGACTAACATGAATTCCCTTGGGAGGGATAATGGTATAGGGGTCAGGGACTGGGAATAACCTGCTTGGTCAAGATAGATAACCCGTCAGGTCAAGATGGTGACCAAAATATATGTACACTTCAAGAAGTAGAGTTGGGTATCTTAATTTTTTAAATTGGCAAGTGGATGTTATACAGCCCTATATCAATAACACACACAAACTTTGAAGTTTCAGATCAATGAGACAGGTAAAAACATGGAGTTCTATGCAGACACGAAGTAATTAAAAACTTAGCTTTACGTAATGGTTTCCTTCTCTACAAACTATTATCTATCTTTGAGAAGGGATTCTGAAAGGCCTAGCCTCCTATATAAATTATTTTACTAAAATTCTTGTTAAAAACTGTATAATAACTATACCTTCAATGGGGCTGTGACTGCTAGACTAAGTCTGGAGGTGTGTACAGCTCCCATCATGTGTAATCTCAGCTCGGACAAAAGTGATACCCCAGCCTCCAATCTGGCATCAACTGCTGTGGAATGATCCATTCCTGGGTGTGCACTGCTCAGCGGTCCACTCACCAGGTCCCCAATACGTGAATCTTTGTTGGTACGAGAGGATGACTGATTGGGCAGAGGTGGCGGCGGATATGGTGGAGGAAGACTGTGGAAAAATAAAGTCAGTGATGAAAACACTAAAATTCATTAATATTTCAAGCTATTTTTTTTTCAACATGTTGTCCGTCTCCCACCGAGGCAGGGTGACCCAAAAAGAAAGATCCCCAAAAAGAAAATACTTTCATCATTCAACATTTTCACCTCACTCATATTTCAACTAAATGTACACTATACAGCCTCTCCTCACTTAATAACGGAGTTCCGTTCCTAAGACCACATCGGTAAACGAATTTGTCGCTAAGCGAGGAGCATACTATAATGGTTGTAGGTTTTTGTCAATCATCTTTGATATTGTTTTAATGTCACCTTTGTACCATTTATAATATTTCTGATATATTTTTAACCCTTTCAGGGTCCAGAGTCCAAATTTCAAGTGTGCATCAGTGTCCAAGAATTTTCAAAAAATAATTTTGTAGTTTTTTCTTATGAAAAGGTAGAGAATCTTTTTCTGAAGGTAATAAAACAAAAAGTACGAAATTTGATGGAAAATTGACAAAATTATGCTCTCACGAATTTTGATGTGTCAGCAATATTTACGAATCGGCGATTTTGCCAACTTTGACTCCCATTTTAGGCCAATTACATTATTCCAGTCAACCAAATTCTTAGCTATTTAACTAGTATTACTTTTATTCTATCGATTGAGCAAAAGAATTTGCCAAGTCAACTGTTTCAACTACAAAATAAAGTGATCAGAAATTGGTAATTTGGCCAATTTAATGTAAAGTTCAAAATATTCCAATTTCAAAATAGGGTCCAGAATAAACAATACAGGCATTCCTGGCACTAAACTAACATTTCCTCTGTTCATTAGTTACATTTTCAGGCTTTACTAATGAATTCCATTTTGATTTTTTATTCACAATGAATTTTTATTCAAACCAAAAAAATAGAAGATTTACAGTTATGCAATATTGTAATAATTGTATAAATAATATCACCACATCTGTGAACATATATTAGACCCACCAGCAGGCATGTATTAGACGTGAAAGGTCATGTGTTTACTCTTGAACATCGGCAAAAATTTAACATTTCCGCTACTTTGAGCTCAGTTTCAAGCCATTTCCAGTACTAAAACCAATCAAAATCATCTCTACTTCTGTAATATATCTTCCATTCTATCAAATGAGACCAAGAAATCGCAAATACAACTGTAAAAAACATACGAAAAAACACTGCAAATTCGCTGTTTTAATCTAAAATTACGGCCTCAGTTTTTTTCTCTCATTATGCACTGTGTGCTGCAGGATTTGTTTTATGTGGTGCACACATACCACATAGATATATTCTCTCACATCTAGGCCAAAATTTACCACTCACAGCTTATCAGAGTGAGTTGAGCTCATGACGTAGATCTACGGTTTGGACCGTCAACGTAAAGCCGTGGATCTAAAGGCATGGACCCTCAAAGGGTTAAATGTTTACACAGTAGTTAACTGTATATTGTAATAAACAGAATAGAGGAATCAGTTCTAATAAACATTATTTAGGAATGCATACTGGTCAGAGAGCCCATCGTCAGTCAGAGTCGTCGGTAAACGCGTACGTCGCTAAGTAAGGAGATGCTGTATTGAAAATTTGTGATATTGGGAATGTTCTTTCCAGAGGTTAGGCCTTGCAGAAGACTGTTTGCAAACACTGTCATCTAAAACTCCTTCAGATAGCTCCCAATCACAACTTTCACTGAGTTATGGTTGGTGAGAACATCAACTATGCTTTCTTACTTCATGGTTAATCTGCCACTAAATAATAGCTATATTTTTCACCCATTAGTTTCCAAATGTGATAAGTGAATAGCTGGCAACTAGAAGTTCTGTAGTGCGCCGAGTTATGTAAGGATCGTCGGGCTACGCAACTGTAAGAACAGTCAGAGACAGAGGAGGAGGCATATATCTTAGGCAGCTTGTTCACTGTTATCCCTACTGTTCCTTGGTTTACAAGAATTTGTGTGCTGTGCCGAGTCACATGCAGCATCCTACACTCAAGGAGTTTTCATTATTATTATGTGCCAGGGGCTTGGACACCCAGCAGGCATATGTGAGCATGTTAGGTAGGACCTGACGAGCTGTTAGAGTGTGAGCTGGGTAACATTTTTGAAGGGATTCAAGGAAACATGTTAGTCGGACTTGAGCCCTGGAGGTAGGAGGTACAGGAGTGGGGATATTTGCTGTTTAGAGGACCATCTAAACTGTTATATCCGTGTACTTCTGGCAAGAGAGTGATAGTATGAATGATGGTGAAATTGTTCCTTTTTTTTTCAGGTCACCCTACCTTGGTGGAAGATACCCAGTGTGTTATAAAAAATATTAATATATTTCAATTAGCAATTATTTAGAAAAGCAGGATCTTTCCTATACTTACTTAGACATAGCAAGTTCAATAGATGTGTAAGGATTGTTAGATGATCCACCAAAACAAGGCTGCATATCGGCAAGGTATTCTCCGATCATGTCCTCACTCTCTGAACTGTCTTCAAGGTCTAGGAAAGAATACTTTCCTGGAAGAAGAAAATACAGTATATTAAAACATAAAAGAATATTGATAATTATTAAGGTTTATTTTTGGTTCTAAGTTTTGAGGCATCTGTGGAAAGATGTTTATCTATGGAGGCAAATAAAGGTAATGTACCAGAGTAAAGTGGCACCAACACTTTTATATGAGTGTGAGGTATGGGTTTTGAAGACTGCAGCAAAAAGAAGGCTAGAGGCAGTGGAGATATTTTGTTTGTGAGTGAAGTGTGGTATTAATATCATGCAGAGAATTAAGGATGTAATAATTAAAGACAATGTTGGGTTACCATGGGTATAATTCAAAGGGCTGAGGAGAGATTGTCGAGATAGCTTCGGCATGTAGAGGATGGAGAGGGATTGATTGACAGAGATACAAATCTTAGGCGGAAGGTAGGCAAGTGGTTTTAATGGACGTGCTGTTGGAGTGTGAGTAGGGTAACTTTCATGAAGGGACTCAGGGAAACTGTTAATTATACTAGAGTCCAGGAGGTGATAAGGGAAGTGCTTGCATTTTAAAGGGCAGGGATCCTGAAGCTGGAGGATAATCCGAATTATGATGCTAGCACATTTCTGGAAAGACAAAAACTGAATGAATTATGGTCAATGTGTTTTCTTCTTTGGGTCACCCTGCCTTGGCAGGACACTGCCACCGAGGTACAAAAAAAATCCATTTCCTTTGGTTCACTGTCTCAGTAGGACATAAATGTGAAGGAAAAATATAGTTTAGGGTGATCTATTAGACATGACAAGTTAACAAATTACCTGGAAGGTCTTCCTCCTCCATGGCACTGTAGTGAGCTGTAGCTATGCTCATTACTGGGGGACTAAGCTGGGTCGCTGACTGATCAGATTGACAATTCTGGGTGGCAACACATGCCCCAAGAGGTGCAGAAACATCCTGGGATGAACTTCCACCCCCATCCCCAACCGTGCTACTAGCTGCTGGAACTGCTCCGTTGGCCGATGGTGCTGCAGAGGACAAGCTTGACAATACAACACCAGAGGGACCTGGAGAGGCCAAGGAGCCAGAGGTGCCAGATGGTCCTCCTGCAGCAGTAGCAGCAGCAGTACTGCTCCTAGCAGTATCTACCACAATATCAAAGGTGTCCACTTCTTCCTTGTGTTGATCTGTATTTATTACTACGTTGCCAAAAAGACGCTCACCTTCACAAAAAAAAAAATTAAAACATGTTTAAATTAGTGTGCTTAAGAAATTTTTCCTGATATTTTTTGACAAAATAATAATGTTTTGAGGCAACCAAAATGCCAGAAGCAAGGGGCTAGTAACCCCTTCTCCTGCATAAATTACTAAAGAAAAGAAAAACGTTTGTGTGTTTAGGCGACCCTGCCTTAGTGAGATACAGCCGGCATGTTGAAAAAAAAAATATTATAACGTACTATAAAATTAAAAAAATAATAAAAATCTCTGTAATAACTACATAATGCACAAGATTTTTGAAAACATTTCTCAATAATCATAATAAAACTAAGTAAAATCAAAATGTCAAATAACAATACCTAGGTCATTACCTTCAAGAATATCTTGCAATAAGCAGGTTAGAGCATGAAGTGCCCAGGGAGCTCCCCAGGTGGTATCTAGAGTAAGAGCATGGCGCAGCAGTGCTCCCAGCTGGCATCGGGTTACTATCTCTGCTACAGATGGACTTGGTCTCATCACACTCACCAGACTTCCAATAACCTGTTGTAAAATTGGGGAAGAAAACGTGATCTGTTTTAAGCTCTACTTAGTAACTCATTATGTAGTAACTAGGTTACTACATCCAACAAGGTTACTGCGTGGCCGGAAGTAGAAAAAAGGACGAGGGGGGAGGAAGGAAGGAAATGGAAAGAGGAAGAGGGATGAAGTGATGGAGGGGTAACATAAAAAAAAAGGAGTGGTAAGATGGAGAAAAGAAAGCATAAGAAAACTGAGAGAGGGAAAAAAAGAAAGGAAAGGATAATGGGAGGAAAGGACAGAGGGAGGGTGAATGGGTGGGTGCACATGGTAGATAGAGAGGAATGATAGGTGCAAAGAGGGGAGGAAAGGATGGAAGATGGATGGGATGGAGAGCAAGGGCTGGAAGCTTAGGAGGAAGGAGGATGGAAGGTAAAGAGGAAGAGTGTAAAATCTGATAATTACAATGAAAAAAGCAACAGAATTTAAAAAACGATAGAGAAAAAAGCATGAAAAATTAAAGGAACAAGAAACTAGTAAATGCAATTTTATACTTAAAACAATGAATTATAATGGTAAGCAAATTTAGTTAAGAATGATCACAAATGACACTTCACATCCCTACTCTAATCACAGAACGGGTGGGGTTTGAACTCGGGGCGAGGCCTAAAACCCACAGGCCAGTGCATTAACCATTGGGCCAGCTGGATGTAATAAGATTCATCCAACTAGGCATATTTATATACACCATAGGGAAGTTAGTATGGGCCTCCCTATGATGTACAGAAATATACCTAAGTGGATGAATCCTATTAGAGCCATCTGGTCACGTGGTTAACGTACCAGCCTGCAAGTTTTAGAGCTTGTTGATCATGAGTTCAAACACCACCTGTTCTGTTCTGTTTGCAATCCTGTTATCATGATTTTGTGAGCCATCTCTACACACTTACTTGCCATTGTTAGACCATTTTCTTTCAATAGAGAATGGTCAGGATGAACAAGCTCAATTACTGTACCATGGATCCCTTACCTTGCATGTCAAAAGGAAGGAGTCGACACAGCAGGGAGAGCTGGTGTTCATTAAAAGTTTGATGAGTCCATGTGCCACTGAGAGTGCTGTGGAACGGTCAAGGGGTACAAAACCATCACCAGCGGAATCACCGTCATCTTTACGTGCTGCCGATCCACCAGATGAGGCAGACGTGGTACGGGAGTACCGTCTGACAATTGATCTCCGAATAGTGTCAAGCTTCTGGTAAATCTCTCCACTCAGACCAGCAAGAACTTGCTATATAAAAGGAAAAGGCTATGATACTAACATTACATTACTCTTAATAACAACCAGAAACTGTATTGCAATCATCACATTAGGAAGTTGGATTGAGATACGTCTCACATACCAGAATTTATCTCATAAATATTGAATTACTTTTACTCCTCTCCCATATAAGAAAATTCTTTGTAAAAACTCTCAGTGGAGATCAAAAGCCTCCCCTAAAAATAAATTTTGGGATGTAAAAAATGTGATTAGTTTCCAAATCTGTTTTTGAAATAAATACACTAAGGTACTGTCACAAATATTAAGCAACAGCAATAAGGAATTGTTATGGAAGAGTATAAAACAAATTTATGCCCTACATTTAAATGGGGAAGTAGAACAGAATTCTTCCTCCGTAAGCCATGCGTGTCGTAAGAGGCGATTAAAATGCCGGGAGCAAGGGGCTAGTAACCCCTTCTCCTGTATATATTACTAAATGTAAAAGGAGAAACTTTCGTTTTTCCTTTTGGGCCACCAAGCCTCGGTGGGATACGGCCGGTGTGTTGAAAGAAAGAAGATGATTTAAATTAAAAAAATTCTATGATTTTTGAGTATTCTAAGAGGGCTATAGGGCTTCAAATCGATTATGTACATTACACGAGAGACAGGCATGTATAATCTACATTTGAAATACAGTGGACCCCCGCATAACGGACGCCTTGCATAACGGACAATCCGCATAGCGGACGCTTTGATCGCTAAAATTTTGCCCCGCATAGCGGACAAAAACCCGCTCAGCGGCCTTCGTCCGAGACACGTCACATGTGCCGCCGGTGGCATTGTTTACCAGCCAGCCTCCGCGGTAACATCCAAGCATACAATCGGAACATTTCGTATTATTACAGTGTTTTTGGTGATTTTTTTCTGGAAAATAAGTGACCATGGGCCCCAAGATAGCTTCTAGTGCCAACCCTACAGCAATAAGGGTGAGAATTACTTTGGAGATGAAGAAAAAGATCATTGATAAGTATGAAAGTGGAGTGCTTGTCTCCGAGCTGGCCAGGTTGTATAATAAACCCCAATCAACCATCGCTACTATTGGTGGTACAGCTGCTGCTGCTGCTGTACCACCGTCAGCTGCTGCTGCTGCTGTAGTACCGTCTGCTGCTGCTGTAGCATCGTCTGCTGCTGCTGCTGTAGCATCGTCTGCTGCTGCTGCTGCTGCTGTAGCATCGTCTGCTGGTGCTGTAACATCGTCAGTTGCTGCTGTAGCATCGTCTGCTGCTGCTGCTGTAGCATCGTCTGCTGCTGCTGCTGCTGCTGTAGCATCGTCTGCTGCTGCTGCTGCTGCTGTAGCATCGTCTGCTGCTGCTGCTGCTGCTGCTGTACCACCGTTGTTGGTGTGGCTTATTGAGAATACCAAGAAACAATTAACCCCAGAGGATTTGCCACCCAGGATAACCCAAAAAAGTCAGTGTCATCGAAGACTGTCTAACTTATTTCCATTGGGGTCCTTAATCTTGTCTCCCAGGATGCAACCCACATCAGTCGACTAACACCCAGGTGAACAGGGAAAATGCCTGGAACTAGTGCTCATATTGGTGAATTTAGAGCCAGCAAAGGTTGGTTTGAGAGATTTAAGAATCGTAGTGACATACACAGTGTGATAAGGCCTGTTCTGGAAGAAAATACCAAACAGGACCTACAGTACTCAGGAGGAAAAGGCACTCCCAGGACACAGTGTCTCATCAGTCATTGCTGCATCTTCAATAGGGGTAAGTGTCATTTATTCTTCATTTAGTAGAGTAGTACATGCACAATATATATTGTGCATGTACTACTCTACTTTTGTGCATGTATCCTTCTCTTTGTGTGTAGGAAAATGTCTATTTCATGTGGTAAAATTTTTGTTTTCATACTTTTGGGTGTCTTGCACGGATTAATTTTATTTCCATTATTTCTTATGGGGAAAATTCATTCACATAGCGAACATTTCGCATAACAGCCAGCCCTCTTGCACGGATTAAGGTCGCTATGCGGGGGTCCACTGTACTGCAATTATAAGAATTTCTACATCCAACACCCACCATAATTTGTTCATTATAGAGATGCTTTTTTATGGCTTTGAACTACTACTCTGAGTACAGTACTTGATGCAAGTTGTCTAAATTCTAAACTCAGTCATTTGTAAATTCTTGTGTGTCCCATCCACCTGGAAGCAGCCAGTGTGCCAGACAAACATACACAAAGATTAAGTCAAGAGACTGACAACATTAAGCACAACCACTACCTTCAGCCCCACGTCCCCATTCTGACAATGCAGTCAAGGTAGTAAATAGTAAACATTATATATAGGCAAAGCTTTCAGTGAGGTTATATTTTTATACAAGAAGCAGCCTTCTTGATCATCAGTGCAAAAACAAAATTCAAACTATGGTACTGACAATGTTCAATACAAATGACACTTTGTTCAACTCTAAGCAGGCCCAAGTACAATTCTGCTGTTCAGTTATTTTAAATATAAGGGTAAGATTTAAATTGCAGAATTTCATGAAGAACACCATTTCCATTAACCCATAACAAAGTCTTCCATTCCAATTCTTTCTCAACATCCATAAACCTTTCATACTTCAATACATGTATATGAAGAGCAAATGAAGTATTTTTTTTACTTTAGATTTTCTTTCTGCTCTCGCCAACATCTCGCTACACACAACTTGCTACATTATTTATAAATTCAACCTAACTTTCAGTCTAAATTCTGCAGCATCATATAACACAAACATTTTCCCACTGTTCAGTGAGTCACCTTCACCCTTTTTAATTTGCTCTGAATTTGAGCAAAAGTCTAAAATATGAAAGGGACACACCCTAAAGAAGCATACTCTCATGCATGTAAACATAACTACCTTTTGTGTTGCAAAAGGTATTGCAAACAGGCAGATGAAGATGTCTTGATATTTAAATCAAGTTCCAAAAAAAAAAAAAAAAAAAAAAAGCTATCTTACTTTCACAAATAGAAGAAATTCTTTTTATCTCAAAAATAGTGCTGCAATAAATATGCAAAAAAATATTTAAAGTTCCTATTTCTGCATCAATTATGAAATAGCACAAAACATTGAAGCAAATACAGCACCTCACTCCACATAAGTACAGTAAGGAGAAATATTTACCCCAGAACCGACCTCTCCCAAGGATTTGGTTGCAGTTTCTAGATTAACTAACTGCTGCTTCTGGTGTACCAGGCGCTTTCTTAATCTTTCTCGAGAAGCTCGTGGTGCACTTCGGCTTGCTTCAGAGCCCCGTCTTTGAAGACACGTCTCTGCTGTCAGCCATGTCCACCGCCCACCTGACCATGATAAACTTATTAGTTTTTATGTTACAATTATCTTGTTTTTCATATTAGGTGACCATACTACAGGTGCTCCTCATCTTATGATAGCGTTATGTTCTGACAAACCCAAAGTTGAAAAATTCATAAGTCGAATATAAAAATGATATGATAAATAGATAACTACTGCCCCTGAATAAATAAACGAATAAATAATTATTGTCTGGGTAGCTGGACTTGAGTCCTGGAGGTGGGAAGTTCAATGCCTGCACTCTAAAGGAGGGGTTTGGGATATTTGCTATTTGGAGTAGCATCTGAACTGTCATGTCTGATTACCTCTGCAAAGACAGTGATTATGTGTGAGTGATAATATAAGTGTTTCTTTCTTTTTTTTGGGTCACCCTGCCTCAATGGGAGACAGCACATGTGTTAAAAAAAAAGTTATGGAATTGCCACCTTTATGCCGGGTAATTATCTTTAGTTTCATCTCCAAAGTAATTGCTTTCACAACATTATAATGTTGAAATACCCAAAGTTGAACCATCGTAAGTCGAGAAGCACCTGTATAAAATGTAGATAAATTTTTTGTTTTATGTTGAACAAGCGTCTCATTCGTCAACTTCTTGGTTTTTCTAAACCATTTATCATACAAACCTTACACTACTCCAATACTGATAAACTCCCAACATTTAGAAGCAATTCAAATCATACCATTTTCTTTATTCTTCTCTGCGTCATTTTTGCGCGTTGGAGTGAGGGCATCCAGACAGAGGGAGAGGTAGAGCAAGAGCCAGGAGACAAGGTGAGTGTCAACTTGAGTGCTAATGTTGTGCCAGGGTAGCCACATTGACTCTATACCCGCAGCTGCAGGTGTGGGGCTGCGAGCTGTAAGGCTGCCACTGCCATGAAGTTGAGCAGACAAAACGCGTAGTATAGCATCGATGACTTGACTTCCACGCCCACTACCAACACTCTTTTGCCCAAGAAAGGTAAGTAGGGCAAATACTCTGGCAAAGAATAATAAAAAGATATATAATTTTTACAAGTTTGTACTGCACTGACCTAAAAGTCATTTAATTTACATGACAAAGAGACAGCCTTCTAAGTGCATATATGTATAACATATCAATACTATTAGCATCAGTAATGCAGCTGAATATTGAAAATCAAGATAATGCAGACTCAAAATAGTGACATCTGCAAACAAGGAAACAAACCACTGTAACCATATCATTTACATACACCAGAAGGATAAAAAATAACCACTGTAAAAAATAGTAAATTTCCAAGTACTTTCATAATTTCTGTATCATGAGAAATCAAGAAAGCACTTGGAAATTCACTATTTTTTTTTCACAGTGATTACTTTGCATATTGTAATATCACCATTTTACTATGATCTTACTGTACACCAGAGAGAATATGGGAACCAACACTGACCCTTGTTACTCTCTTCATATCCTGCTATTTCATACCTCACAGTGACATTTTGTTTACCTCTATTCATGTCAATCTCTTTCCTTTTATCTTAGTGCTTCTCCAATTTGCTGATTCATTACCTATGTGGTACCATATTAAAAGCATTCTTACAACTACTTCTGTAGATATATGAAGAATGTTTTAAATCACATTACACATACTGAAAATGTGGAATGTTGACAGCAGCAAGCATGATTACCTGGTGGCAGGAAAGTGGAGAGTATTGGTGGAGGAGAAGAGTGTTGTCATGGTGTTGGCCAAGAAGTCTCCCCACCAGGGTTGTCCAGCACACAGCCTAGCCAGGAGGGAGGCCACGCCCACCTGTGCCCCTTTGGGTCCCCGCACACACACCTGTTCCACCAGCACCTTGGCTTGCTCAGGCCCACACCACTCCATCAGGTTATGTGGCACCTGTAAATATAACAACTTCCTCATTATTATTATGTAAAGTAAAAGGACACAAAAGAATATATTAACATTTAATTTATATATAACAAAGAACAGTCATTGAAGCGAGTTTTTTGAAGGGGTGTGTCAGTCTCAGTATTGTCCAATTTTGATTGCATCAATATCAGCCTACAACTGAGTAAAGGTATTCATATCAAAGGGTTTCTCCTATTTTGATGGGATCAGTACCAGTATCTTTGGGAAGTAGTTAATTTTTATCATATAGTTTTTTTGTACACATTTTTTTTTGCAAGTAGTGTATTATTAAATTCACAGGGAAAACACTATACTCGTAGGGGTTATACAGAGCCTGGGAATGGGAAGAAATCAGGTTTAATTCAATGAAGACGGTAGATCCAATTCCTCTGAACAAGAAACCTTCACCACCATTAAGGCACCCCTACTAAGGTCTTGCAAGTAGTAAAGCATATGCACCAAACCAATTTTTTTTTTTTTTAAATATCTTCTTCTTTCAACAAACCAGGCATATCCCACTGAATCAGGGTGGCCCAAAAAGAAAAAAGAAAGGTTTCTCTTCAACCTTTAGTAATACAGTGGACCCCCGCATAGCGAACGCCTTGCATAGCGAACAATCCGCATAGCGAACGCTTTGTTCGCCAAAATTTTGCCCCGCATAGTGGACAAAAACCCGCTCAGCGACCTTCGTCCGAGACGCGTCCATTGTTTACCAGCCAGCCTCCGCGGTAACATTCAAGCATACACTCGGAATATTTCGTATTATTACAGTGTTTTCGGTGCTGTTTCTGGAAAATAAGTGACCATGGGCCCCAAGAAAGCTTCTAGTGCCAACCCTGTGGTAAAAAGGGTGAGAATTAGTATGGAAATTAAGAAAGATTTTGAAGGGTTTGGGGCTAACCCTGAGAAGCCTATGCCAGTTTGGAATCCATTGTGCCTACTTCAAAAATTAAGGAAATGTGTGCACAGTGGGTTGAACTGCAAACCTTTATGGATGAAAATCACCCTGACACAGCTGTTGCAAGCCGTGCTGGTGACTATTTCAATGACAATGTTATGGCCCATTTTAGACAAATCGTAAAGGAACGGGAGGTACAGAGCTCTATGGACAGATTTGTTGTGCGACAGAGGTCCAGTGACTCTGAAGCTGGTCCTAGTGGCATTAAAAGAAGAAGGGAAGTAACCCCGGAAAAGGACTTGCTACCTCAAGTCCTAATGGAAGGGGATTCCCCTTCTAAACACTAACACTCTCTCTCCCCTCCTCCCATCCCATCAATCATCACCAGATCTTCAATAAAAGTAAGTGTCATGTAATTGTGCATGCCTTTTTCAGTTTGTGTGTACTAAAATTAACATTTTTTTTGTGGTAAAAAAAATTTTTTTTCATACTTTTGGGTGTCTTGCACGGATTAATTTTATTTCCATTATTTCTTATGGGGAAAATTAATTCGCATAGCGAACATTTCGCATAACGACCAGCCCTCTTGCACGGATTAAGTTCGCTATGCGGGGGTCCACTGTATATACAGGAGAAGGGGTTACTAGCCCCTTGCTCCCGGCATTTTAGTCGCCTCTTACAACACGCATGGCTTACGGAGGAAGAATTCTGTTCCACTTTCCCATGGAGATAAGAGGAAATAAACAAGAACAAGAACTAGAAAGAAAATAGAAGAGAACCCAGAGGGGTGTGTATATATATACCTGTACATGTATGTGTAGTGTGACCTAAGTGTAAGTAGAAGTAGCAAGACGTACCTGAAATCTTGCATGGTTATGAGACAGAAAAAAGGACACCACCAATCCTACCATCATGTAAAACAATTACAGGCACTCATTTTACACTCACTTGGCAGGTCGGTAGTACCTCCCTGGGTGGTTGCTATTTACTAACCTACTACCTATAACTTATGTTTATATTTAAATCAATTAAATGTAGGTCTCATTCCGGCACAGCTTAAGAACATAAGAAAGAAGGAACACTGCAACAGGCCTACTGACCCATGCAGAGCAGGTCCATGTCCCCCCCCCAGATTAGCCCAATGACCTACCAAGTCTGGTCACTTCCACTTAAGGAAAGAGCACGGCATCAGACCTAGTAGCACAAGCTAGTCAGGTCCAACTCACACCAAGAATTCTGTTAGCTTTATTGTGAACACTAATGCACTGTTGTCTTGGTTTTTGATTACTGCTAACCAGAACTCCTAAATCCTTTTTGCAATCAGTAGTATTAAGATCTACATTATTTAGTTTATATGTCGCATGGTTATTTTTCTGTCCAACAGTTAGAACTTTGCATTTGTCTATATTAAACTGCATCTGCCACTTCTCCGACCATTGCATCAGTCTATTCAAATCATCCTGGAGTTCTCTAGTGTCCTCATTAGAATGAATTGGATGGCCTATTTTGGCATCATCAGCAAATTTGCTTATGTTCCTATTTATTCCCTCATCTATGCCGTTTATGTAAACTGTGAACAACAACGGGCCCAACACTGACCCCTGCGGAACCCCACTTGTGACGTGCCCCCATTCTGATTTCTCCCCATTTATGCAAACTCTCTGCTGCATATTTGTCAGCCATGCCTCTACCCAGGAAAAAATTTCTCCTCCTATTCCGTGTGCCTTAAGTTTCCTTAATAGCCTCTGATGTGGAACTCTATCGAAAGCCTTACTGAAGTCCATATATACAATGTCATATTCATTACCATGATCTACCTCCTCAAACACCTTAGTGAAAAAAGTTAGTAAATTCCTAAGACAGGAACACCCCTTTGTAAAACCGTGTTGAGATTCATTAATCAATCTATGCCTATCAAGATGGCTACGAATTGCTTCGGCAATTATTGATTCCATACTTTCCCACAATGGAGGCAAGGCTTATTGGTCTATAGTTCAAAGCCAAGGACCCGTCACCTGCTTTGTAAATAGGTATTACATTTGCCATTTTCCACTTATCAGGCACTATGCCAGTTTGTAGTGGTATGTTAAAAAGATTAGCCAAAGGTATGCTAAGTTCCTCTTTACATTCCTTTAACACCCTTGCAAACAGTTCATCAGGGCCTGGGGATTTGTTAGGTTTGAGTTTCTCTATTAGTCTGAGGACCATGTCACTAGTTACCGCAATCGTGCATAATTTATTATCGTCCTGTTCTACATAATCTATTATTTCACGAATTTCGCTAGTATTTTCCTGGGTAAAAACACAGGAAGTAGGTACTGAAAATTTCACACATATCCTTATCACTGTCAGTGATCTGATCAGAGATACTCTTAAGTGGGCCTATCTTATTCTTAATCTTACTTCTATATACACGTGTACCTGAAAGAACCCTTTTGGGTTAGTCTTCGAATCCCTTGCGACCTTAGCCTCATAATCCCTTTTTGCTTTTCTTATTCCTTTCTTTATTTCTCTCTTTACTTGAATATATTTATTTCTTAACTGCCCATCCTCTCTTTTGATATGCCTATATATGTCTCTTTTTTGACCAATGAGATGTTTTAATCTATTGTTCATCCATTAGGGATCATTTTTGCTAAATCTAATTTCCCTACTCGGAACAAAAGTTGTCTGGGCATCTAGAACTATGCTCTGAAAAACATCATATTGGCAACCAAGATCACCTTCCTGACCCATAGTCAGGACATCCCAATTTAGCCCACCCAGGTAATTTTTCAGTCCCATGAAATCGGCCAAATGAAAATCTGGGACAGAGATTTGATTGCAGTTATCTGGGTGATTCAATGATATATTGAAACTAAGTGATTTGTGATCACTTTCCCCAAGCTCATCATTAACCTCAAAATTATTAATTAGTGACTGTTGGCAAGAACCAAGTCAAACAGATTGTTTCCTCTAGTTGGTTCTGTCACAAACTGTTCTAAAAAGCAATCCTGAACCGTATCAAGAACGTCACTAGACTCAAGGTTTCCTGTATTATTGTTCCAATCAATTTGTCTAAAGTTAAAATCTCCCATTAACACAACATTTTCATATCTAGATGCCTTATGAATTTCGTTCCATAACAGTTTACTGCATTCCCTATCAAGGTTTGGGGCCTATAAATCACACCCAAAATTAATTTGTCACGACCCTCGAGAAACTGTAGCTAAACAGATTCTGTGTTTGATGTTTCTAATCTTTTATCATGTCTAAGACAACAATTTAAATTTTCTCTGACATACATCACCACTCCACCACCCTTCTTGTTGACCCTATCAGTGTGAAATAGTTTATATCCCTGTATGTTGCATTCAGAAGGCATTTCCCTATCTTTCAGGTTGAACCAAGTCTCTGTTATACCAATAATATCTATATTACCTACACTTGCAAGTAATCTTAGCTCATCTATTTTATTTCTTAGACTCCTACTATTTGTATAGTAAACCTTAAGAGAGCTAGTTACTCGTTGCCCTCTGCTATCTCTCTTTGTTTGTTGATCAATTAATTTGCCATTACTAGCAACTTTATTTTGAATATTGTCTTTTAAACATATCCCTGAAGTATCCCAGTAATAACTTCTGTTTTTAACCCTAATACTGCAGCCTGACTGTTTCCCACAAACACCCATACCTCTATAATCTATCAGTTTAAATTCCTAGACAAGTCATCAATTACCCTCTCAATCAAATTGGCTAATGCAACCACTCCATCCCCAGAGAGATGAACCCCATCCCTTGCATACATATCACGTTTGCCATAGAATAGGTCCCAGTTATCAATGAATGGGATTGCAAGTTCCTTGCAGTACCTGTCTAGCCAGGAATTTATACCAATTGCCCTAGACATCCATTAATTGCCCACTCCCTTTCTAGGCAAGATGCTACATATGACTGGGATCCCTCTTAGACCTACTACTACTATGGCTGACCTGTACTTATCCAGCAGCTCCTGTCTCCTGCCCTTCCCAATGTCATTACCCCCAGCACTAAGACAGATAATGGGCTTGTTCCCATTACCTGACATAATATTATCCAACCTGCTGACTATGTCACCAACACCAGCTTCTGGAAGGCACACCCTCTGTCTGACCTTTCTGTCTCTGTTACAAAAAGCATGGTCCATATATCTTACCTGAGAATCTCCTACAATTAAAATGTTCTTACCTTGATTAGCAAGGGAATCAGTGATACCTTCAACCTCACTAACCACTGAAGTGCACTCGTCCTGGAGTACAGAGAATTGATATCCTACCTTCACATCTCTGTTAACCCTCCTTATCTTCCTTCTTCCTGAATTGTGAACCACTTGCCACTTAAAGCAGTTGCCACTATCACTGCTGGTGACCATTTCCTCCTTACCAGCTAGATCCTTCTCACACTCACTCCCAAACTCATCTAGGCAAGGCTTCAGCCTCCTATTTTCCTCCTGAAGAAGTAGAACCTCCTTCTTCAACACCTGAACCTGAGATTCTAAAACACTACAACAAGCCATGGTGCTTGGCAACACCCCATGCTAACTCCCAGAGAGCTTAGGACAGGTATGACTGCAGGTGACCACTGACTCAACCTTGTTAGGTAAAAGGGCACATGTGCAAGTAATGTGAGATATTACTGTGGCAATGCTTTGCTCTCCAGAAGCTTTGTCAAGCCATTACTTAATTAGCCTTGTTATACTATAAAACAAATGCAGACAACCCAGAACATTAGGTGGCTTACCGACATGCCAGGTATGGGCAGTGACAAGGTAAGGAGGCAGTTTAATAGGTACTGCATGAGAGTGGCAAGCTTGTCAGATGATGATGAGACTGCAGAGAGGAAATGCTTGTTGTGGTTGGAATTGACCGAGGATGGAGAATAGGGTGTGCTGGAACTCTCTGCCCCTCCAACACACTGCAGCCGACGCATCACTGACACTACCAAGTTCAGATGTTGTTGTTCCAACATGCATTCCTATAAAAATTACACAAAAATTATATTAAAATAGTATTTTCTTTTCATCGTGCACTCACAGTTAGGCAATACTGCAGCACTTACACTCTCTCAGGTAAAAATTTTATCTTTTCTTTACTCTTAACCTTACCTCATTATCGTAGTGACACAATGAAAAACAAGAGCACTAAGCCTCTTCAATAAATGATAAACCATTACCATTACCAATACCAAAGTTCATTTTCAAATACAGTAAAACATTGTCACCATATTCTCACTTATTATCTCACAATATTTCCACACACTTCCACTACAGCTCTTACTCAAACTGACCCTCAATATTCTCAAGTGGCCACTAATTCGCCCGCTGTAGATTTCATATGATGTACAGAGTACAGCCAATGAGATATAATAAGCAACATTTAAGTTCTCTTCGTATGAAGTCATAAGACACACCTACGAGTTGGCAACCGTTCGGGGTGATGCCCTTATTAGTGTAATATGTTTTAAACTTATCAGTCTGTGATGAAGGTATTTGATGCCATTCAGCACGAAAAATACTTTTACAATCTACAAGTTTTTTGTTATCCTAAAACCAAAACACTGGCAGTCTTCTCTATTAAATGCACTAACCAAAACACAATATTACATTCTTTGCTGAATAACTTTTACAAGAGTCAAGCATTATATAAATTTGGCTCTTGCCACTGGTAAAGACTATAACACACCTGTTTGTGCTACTATTACTTTCCTTTATAGAATCTAAATGTATAGTGCCTGAACTTAACAGGAAGGGTTTGGGATAGTGGCTGTTTGGAGTGACATCTAAACTGTCATATCTGGGCACCTCTGCAAAGACAGTGATTGTGTGTGAATGATGGTGAAAGTGTTTCTTTTTTTGGGTCACTCTGCCTCGGTGGGAGACGGCTGACATGTTGAAAAAACAAATTCTTTCCAGACATACAATCATTCCTGGTCAGTAGGTCTCCACTAAACAAATCATGGAACAATTGGGGTTTGAAACCATGAAACTACACAATTTGTGCTTCATAAAATTTTTAATAATCTTCAGAACTTTCTACAAGGAATGTAATCCCTGCGCTGTGTCCACTCAGCTGTGATGGCTGCACGAGATTTGCAACTTTTTACCAGTATGTCTTTCACATCTGGACCAAACCTTCAGAAGCATCAACTCTCATTTTTTCATTTAAATGCTATGCACTTTATCTCCACCAGTCCACTTAGTTATTCATGAACTTGTACCTCCACCAGTTCCTTGAATATTCATGCACTTGTACCTCCACAGTTCACTTGAATATTCTCTCATTTATAAAAATCTTACTTTTACCACTGTCTATAAGTAATAAAAAAAGGCACAATACTGTGACTGGAACAATACACAAATAACCCGCACAATTTTTCTTTATCTAAATCATTTGATACCCTCATCACCTTACTCTTTTCTATGTTCACTTTCAACTTTCTACCTTTACACACATTCTCAAACTCAACCACTAGCCTTTGTAATTTTTCTTTAGAATCTCCCATAAGCACAGTATCATCAGCAAAAAGTAACTTTGTCAATTCCCATTTTGAATTTGATTCCCCATAATTTAATCCCACCCCTCTCCCGAACACCCTAGCATTTACTTCTTTTACAACCCCATCTATAAATATATTAATGTCACCATGGTTGTTTAATATATTTATAGATGGGGTTGTAAAGGAAGTAAATGCTAGGGTGTTCGGGAGAGGGGTGGGATTAAATTATGGGGAATCAAATTCAAAATGGGAATTGACACAGTTACTTTTTGCTGATGATACTGTGCTTATGGGAGATTCTAAAGAAAAATTACAAAGGCTAGTGGATGAGTTTGAGAATGTGTGTAAAGGTAGAAAGTTAACATAGAAAAGAGTAAGGTGATGAGGGTATCAAATGATTTAGATAAAGAAAAATTGGATATCAAATTGGGGAGGAGGAGTATGGAAGAAGTGAATGTTTTCAGATACAGTGGACCCCCGGTTAACGAACTTTTTTCATTCCAGTAGTATGTTCAGGTGCCAGTACTGACCGAATTTTTTCCCATAAGGAATATTGTGAAGTAGATTAGTCAATTTCAGACCCCCAAACATACACGTACAAACGCACTTACATAAATACACTTACATAATTGGTCGCATCTGGAGGTGATTGTTAAGCGGGGGTCCACTGTACTTGGGAGTTGACGTGTCAGCAGATGGATTTATGAAGGATGAGGTTAATCATAGAACTGATGAGGGAAAAGAGGTGAGTGGTGCGTTGAGGAATATGTGGAGTCAAAAAACGTTATCTATGGAGGCAAAGAAGGGAATGTATGAAAGTATAGTAGTACCAACACTCTTATATGGATGTGAAGCTTGGGTGGTGAATGCAGCAGCGAGGAGATGGTTGGAGGCAGTGGAGATGTCCTGTCTAAGGGCAATGTGTGGTGTAAATATTATGCAGAAAATTCGGAGTGTGGAAATTAGGAGAAGGTGTGGAGTTAATAAAAGCATTAGTCAGAGGGTAGAAGAGGGGTTGTTGAGGTGGTTTGGTCATTTAGAGAGAATGGATCAAAGTAGAATGACATGGAAAGCATATAAATCTATAAGGGAAGGAAGGACGGGTAGGGGTCGTCCTCGAGAGGGTTGGAAAGAGGGGGTAAAGGAGGTTTTGTGGGCGAGGGGCTTGGACTTCCAGCAAGCGTGAATGAGCGTGTTAGATAGGAGTGAATGGAGACGAATGATACTTGGGACCTGATGATCTGTTGGAGTGTGAGCAGGGTAATATTTAGTGAAGGGATTCAGGGAAACCAGTTATTTTCATATAGTCAGACTTGAGTTCTGGAAATGGGAAGTACAATGCCTGCACTTTAAAGGAGGAGTTTGGGATATTGGCAGTTTGGAGGGATATGTTGTGTATCTTTATATGTATATGCTTCTAAACTGTTGTATTCTGAGCACCTCTGCAAAAGCAGTGATAATGTGTGAGTGTGGTGAAAGTGTTGAATGATGATGAAAGTATTTTCTTTTTGGGGATTTTCTTTCTTTTTTGGGTCACCCTGCCTCGGTGGGAGACGGCCGACTTGTTGAAAAAAAAAAAAATAGTAGAGGAGCTTACGACGACATTTCGGTCCAACTTGGACCATTTACAAAGTCACACTAACGAGAAGGAGAGCAGCGTGGGCGTATATAGGCAGGAGGTGATAGTAGTAGTAGTAGTGGTGGTGGTGGAGGTGGAAGGAAGTAGTAGTGGGGAGGTAGTAAGAGTAGGAGGGGCCAGTCAAATACTAAGAAAGGGGAGCACTGCAAGGGAGCTGGTGCCCACAGAGGGTAAGAGCAAGAATACCGAGGGGGGGAAAACAAATAAATAAGTAAATAAAGAAGGAACAAATATACAGGGCAGAAGAAAGACAACCCAAAAGAGAAAAAGGAAAAGAGAAAGGGGAAGAGGGAGAAGAGGAAAAAAGGAGGAATCAGGTTAGATCACGAGTGTTCTGAAGTCTGGAGCATTTTACAATGTAGTGGGAGAGGAAGGCATCTACAGAGACAAAGCCGGGACTAAGATTCATACAAGTAAAGTTGTGTATTAGGGAGGATTCAACCAGACAGCGACTGTTAAAGTTGGAAGTAGGGAAGACAGTTTTAGCAGAAGACCAGTCCTCTTCAATGCTTTGGAGAAACTGGTCATCTCTTTCTGACAGTCTTAGGAAGCACAAAAATAGTGTTAGGCTTGCCGACACTTAACAATGCTCTTTTCTGTCACGTCAGAGATCACAGCCTTCCTATTGACTGGTCTTCTGCTAAAACTGTCTATCCTACTTCCAACTTTAACAGTCGCTGTCTGGTTGAATCCTCCCTAATACATAATTTTCCTTGTATGAATCTTAAGTCCTGGCTTCGTCTCTGTAGATGCCTTCCTCTCCCACTACACTGTAAAATGCTCCAAACTTCAGAACACTCGTGACCTAACCTGGTTCCTCCTTTTTTCTTCTTCTCCCTCTTCCCCTTTCCTTTTTCCTTTTTCTCCTTTGGGTTATCTTTCTTCTGCCCTGTGTATTTGTTCCTTCTTTATATACTTATTTGTTTCCTCCCCCTCAGTGTTCTTGCTCTTACCCTCTGTGGGCACCAGCTCCCTTGCAGTGCTCCTCTTTCTTAGTATTTGACTGGCCCCTCCTACTCTTACTACCTCCCCACTACTACTACCTTCCACCTTCACTACTACCACCTTCTGCCTATGTATACCCATCCTGCTCTCCTTGTTAGTGTGACTTTGTAAATGGTCCAAGTCGGACCGAAATGTCGTCATAAGCTCCTCTCTTCTATGTGCGGGTTATTTGTGTACCAATGTCTAAATTTATCCTTTTACAAAATCTTTTTGCTGGATCAACATCCACTCTTATAAGTGACCATAAAATCTGAAAAATTATGAGAATAACCACTATGCAAATTATTCTCAAACATACTCTGTAGACCTTGTCAGTATCACTTCAGTTAAAAAATATATATCTATATATTAACATCAGATCATTTCATATCTAACTTTCCTTAGGGATTAATATTTTTTTTTATTTATGTATTTATCAGTTTCTCCATTTCCTACTTCCCTACTTTCAAGTGTTTCCCGTCTTATGAACGAACCTGATATGCATGTGTAATTTTCCGCTCGAGGTCGGCATCTCGCGACCCAATTGGCGATATCTCGGAATAACCAAAAGAGGTATGTGGACCCGTAGGAGCAGTAGGACTCATAAGAAGGGGATTCAGGAGAGATCGCAGTTTACTACACGCTAGGCTGTACCGGCACCCAATGTCCTCCACCACACTCCCAAGTACTGACAACTGAGTCTGAAACAAAATATTATATAAAAGTTTTTATTTCATTAAAAACAATGATCCTACTACCACAAGTCAAATTCTTCTGTACCATTCTTCTTTTGGAACAATACATAAATAACCTGCACATGGGAGAAAAGCTTACGACGTAAGTTTTTTCTCCTATGTGTGGGTTGTGTGTAAAATATGGCACACAAGTTTTCATTTCATTACAATCAATGATCCTACTAGCATAAGTCAAAATTTTCTATACCATTCTTATTTTGGATGCAAACAAAATATAGCATAAAATGATTCTACTACCATAAGAAATTCTTTTATACTGTTCTTGTTTGAGTTACAAACAAAATATAAAATACAACTTTTCATTTCATTAAAAACAATGAATATACTACTGAAAGTTAAATTCTTCTATTCTGTTCATATTTTTGATACCAACTTTATTAACAAAGTAGAGAGAATCTTCAGTGCAGTTCACACACAAAGGAAAACAAGACCTGACCCACCACCCTTCAGTTTCTTAACATACAGCTTATCAAACTAGATCAAGAGCTCAAATTAATACTCTAATGCAAGGCTACCAATAAGAACGACCTACATCACTTTCCTCCATTATGGTAAGAAAGCCGCATAAGAGGTTATGACTGGGTTCTATGAGAGCTTACAGGAACTGCAGCCCCAAATACTTAAAGAGGAATGTGAAAATGCTTGTAACATTCGCCATGTCACAATCTTCCACACTTCATTCGAGGTCGCAGAGAAAAAGCCCAAAAAATACTTTCAGAAGCCCAAGGATGATGGATGATGACAATGAGGATAGTGATAGTAATGATGACTATGAGGATAGTGATAGTAATGATGACTATGAGGATAGTGATAGTTATGATGACTATGAGGATAGTGATAGTTATGATGACTATGAGGATAGTGATAGTAATGATGACTATGAGGATAGTGATAGTAATGATGACTATGAGGATAGTGATAGTAATGATGACTATGAGGACAGCTATGATAAAAGTTATCTCCTTTTCCCATATCTAAACCTGCAAATATCATCATACAAGCATTAAGTTAAATGGAACAAACGTCACTATCATCATTTTCAAAACTATTACACTTCAGAACAGGACACAATAGTGATGGCAACATTGCCGTCCAAGTGTACATCATCCTTTGTAGTGGTTGTCTTCACCTACATGTGGTTACAGAGGCCAAAGCTCATGGCCCCTGCCTCTCAACTTGCCAGATTCACTCCCTCCTAGCCTTGTGAGTCTTATTGTACCTGCTCTTCAAGCTATGTATCGCATCTGCCTCAATCACTTCTTGATCAGTCATTCCAATTCTGTAAAAGTACTTCCTGACACTCCTGACTCATCTGCATCTATAACTTCCAGCTGTGCCCCCAGAGTACCTGCTTCCAGCCTCTCAAACAGCCAATCCATGTCTGCCCTATCAATTCCCCTGAATATTTTTAATGTTGTCTCCCTTGGTTTGTCTGTCAACAAAAATCAATTCTGCCAGCCTCTACTTGTAGCTCATACCTCTTGTTCTGAAACTCGTCTTATTGCATAATCGTTTCTTAACATGCTTGCTCAGGTGTGGGTTCCATGCAGGTGCCATGATCAAACAAGCATAATTAAGGTACTTCATTATGCTGGTGGGACCCACAACACCTAGTTTATCAGGATCAATATTCACACCTTATGATATAGCAAGATGGCAAATTTATCAAGGGAACAGGGCCAAAAGATGATTTATGGAAATTGGTTCAATTAGTACACAGATACACAGAATACTATTGAACAGAACCAACATGCCTTTAATTTAGCCAGACAACTGGCTCACAATATACTACAGGGACATTCTTGGCACTAGGAGTGGTGCAAACTTGCTGGCCGCCAGAAACCAGCTGACAGTTCAGCAACATTGCCTGGTACAATGTACCTTCCACAGTGCTCTGCTGACCAAAGATTTGTCACAGTCCTTTCTGTCACGTTACCTCTTCCTTCAGTCCCAGGAGTATATACATATTCATGCAATTTCAATCTTGTGTGTGGCTAGATGAAAACCTTAATAGGTTCAAAAACTGTCACAAGAATAGCTTGTTTTACACAGTCTGTCTTTTCTTTACTATTGTCTTTATGGTAGGGGTCATCCTACAAAAGGATGGAGGGGACTAAAGTGGTTTTGTGTACAAGGGGCATGGACATCCAGCAGGCATGTGTTAGCATGTTAGATAGGAGTAAGTGGAGGCAAATGGTTTTTTAGGACCTTACAAGCTGCTGGAGTGTCAGCAGGGTAACACTTTGTGAAGGGATTCAGTGAAACTAGCTAGCAGGAGTTGAGTCCTGGAGGTGGGAAATACAGTGCCTATACAGTAAAGGAGGGGTTTGGGATATTTGTTGTTTGGAGGGACATCTGAACTGTCACATCTACGTGCCTCTGGCAAAATGGTGACAGTATGAATGATGGCAAAAGTGTTTCTTTTTCAGGTCACCTTGCCTCAGTGGGAAATGGCCAGCAAGTAAAAAAAAAAAAAAAAAAAAAAAAAAAAAAAAAAAAAAAAAAAAAGGTGTTAAGTGATGAACAAGAGAGTAAAGTATAGTAGCTCACCTGGGCAGATATTTTGTTGATGAATGATGGGTGTGGCTGACCAGGCTGAAGCTGCCAGGGAAGGATCAAGGTGTGCCCATAAAACGCACCTACTGGGATCCTGCACTGCGAAGATGTATTCATACCATATCTCCCAAGGGTTGTTACCTGTGACATTTAGTGAAAAGAAAAATTATAATAATTTTCAATATGGTGGATTAAGTTACACTTGGTAGTCAAAAATATTTAATGCAATAATCTACTCACTATCAAGGTACAATAAATGCAGAATTGCCTCAAGACTATTTTCAGTAAAATACTTCCAAAAAGATATTACATCAAATACAAGAGGCAAATATTTCATATCAGACTATTTACGAGTGAGAAAAAACTGATCCTTCATAGATACTATAGGATGGAGGGAAGAGGTAAAGGAGGTCGTGTGTACAAGGGGCTTGGACATACAGCAAGCTTTGCTTTTTTTTTTTTTTTTTTAACACGGCCATTTCCCACTGAGGCAGGGTGACCCAAAAAGAAAGAAAAAAAAAAAAACTTTCATCATCATTCAACACTTTCACCATCATACATAATCACTGTCTTTGCAGAGGCGCTCAGAAACCACACCTTAGACGTCCCTCCAAACTGCCAATACCCCAAACCCCTCCTTTAAAGTGAAGACATTGTACTTCCCACTTCCAGGACTCAAGTCCAACTAACCGGTTTCCCTGAATCCCTTCACAAAATATTACCCTGCTCACACTCCAACAGCTCGTCAGGTCCCCAAAAAATTATTTGTCTCCACTCACTCCTATCTAACATGCTCACACACACTTGCTGGAAGTCCAAGCCCCTCGCCAACAAAACCTCCTTTACCCCCTCCCTCCAACCTTTTCAAGGATAACCCCTACCCTGCCTTCCTTCCCTAACAGATTTACATGCCCTCTAAGTCATTCTACTTTGATCCATTCTCTCTAAATGACCAAACCTGTTCAACAACCCCTTTCTTCAGCCCTCTAATACTTTTAGTAATTCCAAACTTCCTAATTTCCACACTCCGAATTCTCTGCATAATACGTATTTACACCAAACATTGCCCTTAAGACACGACATCTCCACTGTCTCCAGCCGCCTCCTCACTGCAGCATTTACAACCCATGCTTCACACCCATAAAAGTGTTTTGGTACCACTATACTCTCGTACATTCCCTTCTTTGCCTCCACCGATAACATTCTTTGCTTCCACAAAAACCTCAATGCACCACTCACCTTTTTTCCTTCATCAATTCTATGGTTAACCTCATCCTTCATAAACCCATCCGCTGACAAGTCAACTTCCAAATATCTGAAAACATTCACTTCTTCCATACTCCCTCTCTCCAATGTGATATCCAATTTTCCTTTATCTAAATTATTTGATACCCTCATCACCTTACTCTTATCTACGTTCACTTTCAACTTTCATATGAGTGTTAAATAGTAGTGAGTGGAGACTAATGGTTTTTGGCACTTCATGAGCTATAGGAGTGTGAGCAAAGTAATATTTTGTGAAGGGATTCAGGGAAAACCAGTTAGCCAGACTTGAGTCCTGGAGATGGGATATACATTGCCTGCACTCTAAAGGTGCTTGGGATATTTGCTGTTTAGAGTGACATCTAAACTGTTGTATCTGCGCACCTCTGGCAAGATAGTGAATAGTGTGAATGATGGTAAAAGTGTTTCTTGCTTGGGTCACCCTGCCTAAGTGGGATATGGCCAGCATGTTAAAAAAAAAATGTATATAAAGGGAATTCAAATGATCTAATCCACTCACACAAATTTGCATTTACTTATATATTGGGAAAGAACCAAAACTTTTAATGGTTAGCCCAGATCTGGCCTAAGCAAACTCAGATACAGAATATAGAAAATAAAAAAAAAAACATATTCCCTGACCCTTATTTACCTCACCTTGAGATATCTACAGAGGGGAGGAGGCTGGAGATCAGCCAGAATCAAGGGTCGCATCCCTATGTCTGATGCCACTACCAGCCTCTCTCCATCCATGTCTTCGCCTGTCATCCAAATGTCAATGCTTAAGGAGACCAGGTCACTGCAAGCTGGTATCACCACATCTGTGATAATGAAACATTTATAATAATGTAGCAATTTAATAGTTAGTCAAGTAAAGAAAGTATTCCAAATTTAGAAAATGAAACTACAGTATATTACTGGACTTGAGTCCAGGAGGTGGGAAGCACAGTGCCTGCACTCTAAAGGAGGGGTGGGGATATTTGTCATCTGGAGGGTCATCTGAACCTTTGTATCCAAGTACTTCTTGCAAGACAGTGATTAGTGTGAATGAAAGTGAAAGTGCTTTTCTGGGTCACCCTGCCTAGAGGGGGAGATGGCCAGAGTACCATATTTTCCGGCACATAAGGCGAGCTTTTTCCCCACAAAAAGTCTTGGAAAATTACACTGTGCCTTATAAACTCAAGGTCAGGGTCAAAGGTAGGCTCCGGGTTACGATTTAGCAGTTGTTTACTAGCATTACATTACAACTGCTCAGAAACATTGTCTTGCATGTCTCATATGATCGTGTACTTTATATGCCGGAAAACAGAGTACATCAGGTTAGTTCAACATCAGTAGTGACACAGGCAGTGTTTTCATATCCTATTAGGAAAATGACAATAACATTTGTATATTGGTTGTTTGGAGTGACATCTAAACTGTCATATCTGAGTGCCTCTGCAAAGACAGTGATTATGTGTAAACGATGGTGGTATAAACCTTGGTAATAAATACTGACAAGTTGGTTTAGAAAAACACGTAAGCAAACACTAGGGCATATTTATTAGAAAGCGTTTTGGTCCTGGGACCTTGATCACTTCTAACATACAGAGGTTGAAAGACAGTATATATAGGCAGAGAGTGAGGTGTGAGTGATGCATGGTGACCTGAAGAATGCCATATTGGTTTACCCGTCCTCATCCCAATATGGCATTCTTCAGGTCACCATGCATCACTCACACCTCACTCTCTGCCTACGTATACTGTCTTTCAACCTCTGTATGTTAGAAGTGATCAAGGTCCCAGGACCAAAACGTTTTCTAATAAGTATGCCCTAGTGTTTGCTTACGTGTTTTTCTAAAGTAAACAATGGTGAAAGTATTTAATGATGGTCTAAGTATTTCTTTCTTTTTTGGGTCACGCTGCCTCGGTGGGAGACGACCAACGTGATGAAAAGAAAAAAAAAAGAAATATAATTGTTTATCATTTTGTAAGTTGCATGTAAGACATGGGACTAAATTAGTGGTTTCCTTCATAGCAGGAGGATACTGAAGATATTATGTGCAAATTGTTTATCGCCTTGGGAGTCATAGGATCTGGTTATGTTTTATTATTTATATACAGTACTCTGCTACCCTCCACTTGCATAACTAGGATTACAACTAAAGAAAACTGAATATGCCAATATAGCAGCAACTGTAAATACAATGTGTATCAGTTTGGTTGTAAAACTTGCATTTTGTGGTAAATGCACAGTGCATGTGAGGCTGGGCTTTTACTGTTTGCAATGTTTACATTCGCTCTCCCTCTTGCCCTCCTCCTCTTCCCCTTTCCTTATTTCTATCATTGAAAATGCAAGGAAAATATTTTACAATTTTTATTAAGCAAAATTATTTAAGTGAATAAAAAAGTTTTTACAGAATTTACAAGAGTATGTTGGTAGTCAATCTCTAGGCAGTGAAACTGAGTCTCTTGAGGTCATGACACCCGGCCATTTGGGTGGTTTGCACTCTTAAGGTGAGGTGGGGAGGGAAGGATCATTACTCTAGGCACAATGACTGGCATTTAGTAGGGAACCTAATGTCTCATTCCCAGCGTCTCATGAATCTGGAATGCATGAATAGAAAATTCTACGTTGATTCAGATTTGGGCTTAGTGTTTTAGAGGTCATATTTCTTTAAATCTAACTACAATCTGATTAATCCTGACTTTCATAAGAGAGAATGCACAGAAGGAAGAGAGACTTGGGTGTGAGAAAGCCATCAAGCATACTTAAAATCTTATGATTAATTTTCAATTCAGGGGTCATACACCAAGGAAAAAGTAAGAGGGCACAGCTAAGAAAAACATGAATCCAGTAATTAAATCTAATCACAAGAGACCCTTCAGTAAAAATCTTCTTTCAACGAACCAGCCATATCCCATCAAGGCAGGGTGGCCTAAAAAGAAAAACAAAAGTATCTTTTTAACTAAAGTAATGTATACAGGCGAAGGGGTTACTAGCCCATTGCTCCCGACATTTTAGTTGCCTCTTACAGAACACATGGCTTATGGAGGAAGAATTCTGATTCACTTCCTCATGGAAATTCAGTAAAAATATACATGTATAGCTAAATCTTTCTAACAAGAAGGCTTGCAAATCTGAGAGGGTGTCTATAAAACTCCTTCCTGCTGCAAGAAAAACTTCCATATCTGAAATCACTATTACAGCACTTCAAAAGGCCTGCCCCCACATAGGTTTCTCCATTTTACACAACAGCTATTACGTTGTACAATACAGAAATCTCCAGAAGACAAGAAAAGCCACCTTTATACTGGAGAAGGTACACATTATAATGATTATGGAGAAATGCTGAAAATGTATAAGCCACACAGTACCTGGGAAATGGGAGGTAATTTGGTTCAATCCAAGGAAGGAAATGATAGGTCTGATTTATAAAATATTGTAAATTGCAAAATTATTCACCTCAGACTAAGACAGAATACTTACATAAATAATTAAAGCAGCTAACCTGTTAGCAAAACCGGAGCACCGAAGTCGAGCACCACAAAGCGGCGTGCCCCCGAGTGCATCCTCTCGATAACAAGCATCTGCTGAGGTGGCAGAGACAGCAGCTGCTGCCATGGTGCACCAAGACTTCCCTGCATGGCAGATGCCACTTTTTTCCCATTAGTTGTTCCATCCTTTATTGGAGGGTGACCTGCTGATGGAGTAGAAGCCTTACTTTCCAGTGAGCTAACATCTTCATCACTCTTCCTCTTGGTATAAGAGTTCTGCTGAACTGCATGCTTGGAGACTTCCATCACTTCTTTATCAACCGATGTAAGACCGAAGTCAATCTTGCTTGAAACATCCAGGTCTACATCACCATTACCCATGTACTGCACCAAGGGATGAGTGACATCCTCAGACTCAGTCAAGAGAATGGCATTTAGACCCTCGTCAGGAGATTCATCTGAACTACCTGAAGAAATAGTGCTTGTTTCTTCTTTTACATCCATTTCCTTATTCTCTCCCCCTAAAGGCAGCAATGGATCCACTGACTGAGAGCCGGTGTTCTCTGCAGCCACAACTTTAGCCAAGGTTTGTGTTCGTTGTTTAGCCTGCAAAGCCAATGAACAACATTACTATTAAAATAAATCACAATGAACAGAGATGAGCGATTCTGGCAAAGACTGCTCTATTGTCACTTTGAAATCAACTGCTACATACATCTGAAACTACAACTCTCAACTTAATACAATTCACTTCATCTGAATTTCAGAAAACGATTCTAACATCTACCTTTTGAAGGCAATGTTTCATTGAAGCTAAGTGGTCACTGAGTGTCTGCAGCTTCTCTAGGTAAGTTTTAGTAGCCTTCTTGGCAAGTAGAAGCTCTACAGCCTGATTCTTAACTGCCATGTCCTCAACTGCCTTGTGTAACTGCAAAATAGGTAAGTGTCCAATTTTCACTAGCTAACCATGAAATTTGTGTCTGCTTCTGTGCAGCAATACATTTCAAAGTTCCAGAGCTACATATGCAATAATTCTACAAGTATCAAGTCTACTTGAACAAACAAATGATAAAATATGGAAGTTGATTAAAAGCAGTAAACACAGTTTTTTTATCAGCAGTTGAAGAAAAAATCACAACTCATGCCTTCACATTGCTTTCAAAAACACATCAATTCAGTGGGCCAAATTATGGTTCCACACTAAAACACTAAATAGCACTTAGACAAATTGAGAGAGTTATCTCCAGAATCATATATACAAGACAGCAGTCATTTGTTTACATATAACAGGTGTTGGAGTCTTACCATTGTGACAGATGCATCAACTGCCTTGGCTGTTCCACTGTTGGTGGCCTCCACTTGAGCCAGAGTGCTGGTGTCTAAGCCACCTGGGATGGTGAATGGCTGCATCATAAATGGACTCCCAGGATGACCTGTTCCTGTCAAATTTTGAGAAACAGGATGAAACGCCTTCATTCACGTACAGAGAAACGTTTTAATTACATAATTCCCAGCTGGGATATTATGTTACCCAATCTCTATTCTAAGTTACTCAAGAGTCCATTTTTTTTTTTTAATTTATCTTAGTTTTTATGGACTAGAACCCTTACATAGGCATAGATGCCCACTCACTGCAGGGCTTGGTGTTTTTTTTAAGAGCCAACCCATTCCCAGATCTTGAGTCACTACCACTAACCAGGTAAGATATGTTCACAGCTTCCTCATTTGGCAGGATACATGCAAACCAATTTGGTTTTAAATGCAATTTCATGGAAATTTTTTTTTTTTTTTTCAACAAGTCGGCCGTCTCCCACTGAGGCAGGGTGACCCAAAAAAGAAAGAAAATCCCCAAAATGAAAATGCTTTCATCATCATTCAACACTTTCACCACACTCACACATAATCACTGTTTTTGCAGAGGTGCTCAGAATACAACAGTTTAGAAGCATAAAGATACACAACATAGTTATACTCTGGAAACCAGCAAACCTATTAAACTGAGCTTTGGGATCTCACTGTCTTACCTTTTTTTTTTCTGGGACAGAAAAATGTCAAACCAAAATCATAGAAACACAAAAATATGATAATACCTTAGAATTTCTAAAATGTAAAGATCCTGTCTACCTTAGGTCTGGTGATGGCAACAAAATTTTCTGTAGCACCCAAATGTTTACTTCAATAAAGTACATAATTTTGAATAGCAAGCAAAAATACATAAAGAACCAGTGCTTTCAGGAACAACTTCACTTGCACAGTAGCCCATCCTTCAGTTTTTTACCATTCACACAAAAAAACTTTTTTTTTTTGGGCTACCCCTGCCTCAGTAGGAGATGACCATAGCTAAAAAAAAAAAAAAAAGCATACTCAAAATGACAGGATATACCTTGAACTGATAAATGTAAGCCACCAATTTTTTTTATTTTGTTACTTTAAGGAAATCATACAGAAACTTGGGTTAATATTCATTAACTTTAAACCTCACCGAGAATAAAAAATTTGAGCTTTCCAAACCATTTTGAGACTGCAGAAATGAACCAAGGAAAATTCATCAAATAATGCAGACTAATTGGAGAAAGGATGCACAAAGGACCTCTCTCAACCACTTGTACCGGCTCATGCCAGGCAAGATGGGAGACCAAGCTGCTCATGAAATGTGTTATTGTGTAGCAACAGTAAGTGAACTGAGGATTATTTTCCCTCAATATTTTATCAAATGAATTTTTTACTCTTAGTTTAGTAGGTCTTACCAAAATGTGGAGACTGATCGAGTGTGAGCAAGGTAACATTTATTAAAGGATTAAAGGGAAACAGGTAGCCAGATACGAGTCCTAGAGGTGGGTAGTGGTGCCTGTAATCTCAAGGAAGGGGGGATATGTTGCAATTCAGAGGGCCATTTGAGGAGTGATAGCTGAATACTTCTGGTAACACAGCTACTGAAAAAATGATGGTTAACATGTTTACTTTTCTGGGTTACCCTACCTTGATGGGAGACAGCCTGAATAAAAAAAAAAAATGATCAAACATTATGAGCATAGCTCTGCTTCTTAAATTACTAAAAGTAATCACTAGGAAGAGATGAGTGCTAGATATTTCATGTCAACAGCACACTCAAATGCAAGTACTCTTTTAATGATTAATGAAGAAAAAAAGAAAAGACAAGTGGAAAGATACAGAATGGCCTGTGTAATATACACTGAGGTAAATTACTGAAGAGTAAACACGTAAACCTAAAAAATTATAATCAGGAATTTAATTAAGAGAGCCTCTCATACACAGCACCTATTTTTGGTGTTCCAGGTTTTTGTTGGCTTTCAATTGAGCCATTGTTCCACCTACCAACAAGTGTAACATAATGAACAATGGCTCAATTTGAAGCCAATGAAAATGTGGAACACCAAAAAGAAGGTGCTGTATATGTGGGGGCCCTCCATATAAGGAAGGAAGCAGGAATAAAGACCCTTAAGTGAGAAAATTTTGAAACAAACTGGCCATCTCCCACAGAAATAGGGTAACCCATCAATACATTCACCAGGAAAGTATTTACTAGACACAACAATAAACTTTTAATATATATTAAACCCAAGCAAGGTGAGGCCTAGACACAACAATAAGCTTTTAATATAAATTATCTAAACCCAGGCAAGGCGAGGCATAAAGGCAAGTCCCCAATCACCCAGCAGTAAATAGGTAGCTGAGATTTAACTGGTGTGGACTGTAATGAAATAAGCCACACTACTAAACTTTCTATGGCTATCCTGGGTTAGTAAGGAAGAACCAAAAGGACATCAACCAGAAATAAGACACTACTTGACTTTTTATGTCTACCCTGGGTTATTAATCTTAAAGTCATTATCTTGGAAAATGTAACCATATTCTATTTTAGACAACAAGTGCTGCAGGAAATATGCCAACACAGAATTGTTTAAATTTAAACAAGCCAAAAATTTTAATGTTATACCAATGCAGGAAGAGAGAAGAAAGAACCCTTTAAAAAAACAGCAAGCAGCTCAAGGAAAAAAAATTTTCTACTCTAGTTGTAAAAATCAAACTAAGATGTAAAAGATCAAATTCAGTAAAAAGAATCAAGGATGATAGTAAAAATCTGTTAGGTAAAAAGACACAAGTGCAACTATTTTTTTTTTTTCAACAAGTCGGCCGTCTCCCACCGAGGCAGGGTGACCCAAAAAAGAAAGAAAATCCCCAAAAAGAAAATACTTTCATCATCATTCAACACTTTCACCACACTCGCACATTATCACTGTTTTTGCAGAGGTGCTCAGAATACAACAGTTTAGAAGCATACACATATAAAGATACACAACATATCCCTCCAAACTGCCAATATCCTAAACCCCTCCTTTAAAGTGCAGGCATTGTACTTCCCATTTCCAGGACTCAAGTCCGACTATATGAAAATAACTAATATTACATTTTACTGTGGCAACATTTTGCTCTCCCGGAGCTTTATCAAGCCGTTACAACTTGATAAAGCTCCTGGAAACGTTGCCACGATAAAATGTCACATTAGTTGCACTTGTGTCCTTTTACCTAACATATTGTTGGTAATTTTACCAATATTAATACATAGTAAAAATTGCCAAACTAGAGAATGACACTAGAAACTGATAGTAGTTGACAGTTTAGAGGAAGTAAATTTGAACCCAAGATAGTAAATTAAAATGGACCCCATTGATTCCAATGGGGTCCAAAGAATGAAGAATCTACTAAGAGATACAAAAAAAAAAAATCACTATAGGTTTTAAATTATGATAGAATAATCAAGCTATTCACCAAGTTTTATTTTTTGGTTTAAATTCTATTTCAAGAAGGTAAACTGGGAGGCAAAAGGGAAAATGCCAAATGGTGTTCAGTTAATAGAAATGTGAGAAGGAGGGCACTAAGCTATAGGCCTATCTCAATGACACCCATAATTTCAGCAAATCTGACTAGGACATATGGAGAACAAAAGCTCTTTGCCAAACAGTTTAGTTTCCTATCAGCAAAGTTCTATACAACATACACAATATACTAAACTACAGTACTGCAATAGTCACAGACACCTTATAATAAAAGAAACTGATGGGCATAATACATTTGTTTTGATTAAAAAAAACTTTCACCATCATTCACACTATGACTGTCTTGCCAGAGGTGCGTACATACAAGTGTATCTATCAAACTATATTGCCCAGCAATATAGCTGGATACATACATTCACGTCTCCTTGTCAGAGTTCATTGGAACGAAACTAAAGCGTTAACATGTAATTTTTTCAAACTAAATTATTTTATACATAACACAGAAATGCAATACAAGATTATTAAGGATCAACATTGCCCCCAAAGACTAAATGGAATCTTTGAAACATTCAAGGAATAAAAAGAAAAACCATTACAATGGAAAAAATATTTACTGTTGAGAGGAAATTGCAAACAGCACCAAGAGGAATTTTTTTTTTTTTCAACAAGTCGGCCATCTCCCACCGAGGCAGGGTGACCCAAAAAGAAAGAAAATACTTTTGTCATCATTCAACACTTTCACCTCACTAATACATCATCACTGTTTTTGCAGAGGCACCTAGATGCAACAGTTTTGAAGCATATATAAAGATATATGTAGACAGCAACCACCCAGGGAGGTACTACCGTCCTGCCAAGCGAGTGTAAAACAAAAGCATGTAATTGTTTTACATGATGGTAGGATTGCTGGTGTTCTTTTTTCTGTCTCATAAACATGCAAGATTGAATCAGGTACGTCTTGCTACTTCTACTTACACTTAGGTCACACTACACATACATGTAAAATCATAAATATACACACCCCTCTGGATTTTCTGCTATTTTCTTTCTAGTTCTTGTTCTTATTTATTTCCTCTTATCTCCATGGGGAAGTGGAACAGAATTCGTCCTCCGTAAGCCATGCGTGTTGTAAGAGGCGACTAAAATGCCAGGAGCAAGGGGCTAGTAACCCCTTCTCCTGTATAAATTACTAAATTTGAAAAGAGAAACTTTTCTTTTTCTTTTTTGGGCCACCCTGCCTCGGTGGGATACGGCCGGTTTGTTGAAAAAAAAAAAAAAAGATATGTAACATATCCCTCCAAACTGCCAATATCCCAAACCCCTTCTTTAGAGTGCAGGCATAGTACTTCCCATTTCCAGTACTCAAGTCCGGCTATATAAAAATAGCCGGTTTCCCAGAATTCCTTCACTAAATCTTACCCTGCTCACACTCCACACTGAAAAACTATGACCAGAGGGGTCCCACAATGGTTAGTATTTGCCCCAATAATGCTTCTACTTTATATAAATGAATTTCCAAATAAAAAAAAATAGAAATAAGTTTTGGGATGCTGACAATAAATCCATAAAAGAATTAAAAATTTTTTTTTTTTTTTCAAGTCGGCCGTTTCCCACCGAGGTAGGGTGACCCAAAGAGAAAA